GTAAGGGAGAAGAGCAATTCATAACAGGCTCAGACAGAAGCAAGTATTTAATTAGGAACTCTAAATACAGATGAACCAATAACTGCATTAAATGTTAATAGCCTAAACCCTCACCATAAAAAGGCAAAGATAATCAGAAAGTATTAAGAAGCAGTCCCTGCTGTATGCTGTCTACAAGGGACTCCCTGAATATGAAGACCCAGGAGGGTTGACAGGGGATTGGATGGAAAGTTATCCAACATACAAATAGTAAGCATGAGAAAACTGGAGTGGCTATGTCAACAGGATAAAAACAGAGTCTGGCCAAGTGTAAAGAGGTACATTTTATAACAGTAAAAAGGGAAAGTTATCAGGAAGACTTAATAATCACAACTGTGTATGTGCCTAACAATGCTGCCTCAAAACACATGGGAAAAAATGGATGGAAATGAAGAGAAAAGTAGAAAATGCCATGATTACAGCTGGCAATTTTAATATCTGTGTTTTAATAAATGAACAAACACCTAGACAAAAGATCAGTAAAGACCATAAACACACTAAGACTTCCACCAAGATGGAGGTGTAGGTGGAAGCACTGTCCCTTTTTGCACAACCAAGTTTAAAAGCAACAAAGTTTTAGCAACAAAAATGCAGCCAAACCACAGAAAATTGAACTATACAGAAGTCTGACAACAACACTCCCCCAGCCAAACCAGTAAGAGGGGCAGAGCCAGCAGCATAGTGGGGTCGGGCAGGAAAGATCGACCGACTCACCCGGGAGTGCAACCCAGGCACGCCAGCAGCTGTAGGCAGATCTTAGGTGTGGAGTAGTGGACGGACCCACTGTGGGCACAAGGTGGTGGACTCACTGAGGGCTGACCACAGTCACACATTCACACATAGATAAACCGGTGACGGAGCGAGCAGTGAGACAGACAGTGCAGGCCCCAGTGGCGGGAAGCAGCAGAGGGAACCACCCCTGTCCCTTCCTTACCCTGTCCCCACATACAACATCACAAACCAGTGACCTGGGTGGCCCTGCCCCTAGTGAACACCTAAGGCTTTGCTCCTCATATGTAACAGGCACAAAAAGATCAAATCATGGCTCAAGAACAACTCACAGCCCCAGAGCCGATAAATCTAAGCAACGAAAAAATACCCAAACTTTCAGATGCATGGTCCAAAACACTGGTGATCAGGATGCTCACAGAACTGGTTGATTTTAGTCACAAATTAGAGGAACAAATGAAGGCTAAACTAATTGAAATGAAGGGAAATGCACAGGAAACCAATAGTGATGGAAACAAAACTGGGACTAAAATCAAGGGAGTGGACCAGAAGGAAGAAAAAAATGACCAAACAGAAAAGAATGAAGAAACAAGAATCCAGAAAAATGAGGAGAGGCTAAAAAACCTCCAGGACATCTTTAAACATTCCAACATCCGAATTATAGGGGAACCAGAAGGGGAAGAAAAACAGCAACAAGTGAAAAAGTTCTTTGAACAAATAATAAAGGAGAACTTCCCCAAACTGGCAAAGGAAATAGACTTCCAGGAAATCCAGGAAGCTCAGAGAGTCCAAAAAAAGTTAGACCCAAGAAGGAACACACCAAGCCACATCATCATTTCATTAGCCAAGATTCAAATGAAGGAGACAATCCTAGAAGCAGCAAGACATAAGGGGACAGTCACCTACAAAGGAGTTCCCATCAGACTGTCAGCAGATTTCTCTAGAGACCTTACAGAAAAGAAGGGGCTGGAAAGAGGTATTCCAAGTCATGAAATCCAAACACCTAAATCCAAGATTGCTCTACCCAGCAAAGCTTTCATTTAGAATGGAATGACAGATGAAGTGCTTCTCAGATAAGATAAAATTCAAGGAGTTCATCATCAGCAAGCCCTTACTATATGAAATGTTAAAGGGACTTACCTAAGAAAAAGATTAAAAAGATGAACAGTGAAAGGACAGCAAACTCACAGTTATTAACAACCACACCTTAAACAAAAGCAGACTAAGAGGACAGCTAGATCAGGAGCAGAACCATAGAAATGCAGATCACATTAAGGGGTAGCAACAGGGGAGCGGGAGGAGGAGAAGGGGGAAGAAGGTACAGAAAATAAGTAGCACAGACGGTAGGTAGAAAATAGATAGGGGGGAGGGCAAGATTAGTATGGGAAATACAGAATCTAAAGAGCTTGAGACACGTGGTCATAAACTAAAGGGGGGAATTGTGGGGGAGGGCGTGTGCAGGGTGGAGGGGAATGAAGAGGGGAAATAGAACAACTGTAATGGCATAATCAATAAAATATATTTTTTAAAAGACCATAAACACCCTAAACTACAATCATGTGAAAAATATTTAGGTTTATTTACCAAGACAGATCATACACTAATTTGTAAAACAAATCTCAATAAATTGGGACTAAAATCATGCAGACTATGCTCTGATCAAATGGAATTAAATTAGTAGTCAAGTACAAGGGTCAGACACACAGCAGTTTCAGGTGCTTCATCCTCTTTCACGGTAGAGCCACATGGTAGAGCCACATCAGTGGCTCCCAAGCCTTCTTGCATCAGCCCCAGGGGCGCGATGAGGGAGGGAAGTCTGGGGGCCTCCTACTGAGTTATTGCTCCCTGGCATCATGCTAGGGGTACTAGTTTGCTAGGGCTGCTGGAACTAAGTACAACTAAGTGGTTCAAACAAATGTGCTGTCTCAGTTCTGGCAGCTACAAGTCACAGATCAAGCTTCTGGTGGTTTGCTGGCAACCCTGGTGTTACAAACATCACCTTGACCTTTTCCTCCATCTTCATGTGTCATTATTTGTGTATGTGAGTGACTTTCTGCAAATTTCTGCTTTTTGTAAGGACATCAGACATATTGGGTTAGGGACCCACCCTTCTCCTGTATGACTTCATCTTAACTGATTGCAACTGTAATCACCCTGTTAACAAATAAGTCTACATTGTGAGGCACTGGAGGTTAGAACTTCCACGTGTGAGCACTTGGGGAACACAATTTAACCCATAACACGAGTATTCCCTACCCAGTTCTCTCTGGGAGATCTCTGCTAATTTGTTCCACCCTCTTCCAGAATCAGCCTTTGGCTGACCTCACTTTGCATGTCACTCAACTGTAGCCCCAGTGGCTGTATCCATATTCTCCATTTGACTGTGCTGAGGTAGTCTCTGGTCCATGCTTAGTCCCTTCCTCTGTCTTTCAGTCACACCTCAGAGGCTGTGGTTGTTTGCATCTTCCTGCTATATTTCTTTTTGGCTTATCCTTCCCCCAAACTCTCCTGATACCTATTTCTGAATGGGCCAGTGATCCCATTCAGCCATCACATCTACAATAGATGTTGGTGGCATGCTAACTGCTCCATGGACATGCATGAATACACATGGGAGTCCCCACTCCAGGTGCTGTGGAGAGGGATCTGCTTATTCAGCTTTTTCTGAGTCACCATGTTTCAAATACCGTTTCTCTGGCCTAACTTTTCTCTTGCCTCATCAGCTCCCCATGCTGCTTCTATCCTTTGACTCTGCTACTCAGATTAGTGACCCAGAGGTAAATAAACAATCCACATGCTGGATTTCATCATGACCCTTTCACAGACTGCCCTAGGGACTGCACATGGTTGATGTGGTGTTACAAGTTCCTAGAAGGGAATTGCCCTCTTTCTCATCCTTGCCAGGGTGAGATTTGGTATTCTGGGTGTCAGATTGGTCGCAGGATTAATTGAAGTTTTGATCCTTGCTCAGGTAATCTAAACCGTGCTAACTAAATTAGAATACAGGCTCAGGCTCCCCCACTAGGTAAGCCAATGTTAATCAGAGCTGTGCTGCCTTGTGTTGCATTGTCAAGTCCTATCAAGCTTCTGCTACAGATTTGGCTGACCCAAGCTGAAAGTTCTCCTACTCACTCAGCCTTTAGGGACAGGGCTCTAGGCTTTGGGTCCTCCTCAATGTCACCCTGGGTCATTTGACTTGGCCTGGACCTATTTGTGTGTCTTAGAATGAAGCTGTGACTCACACTGGGCTCAGGGCAAAGACTAGCCTGTGACGATGATCAGTCATGTGTCCCAAACAGCATCTGACCCCTCATCTATGGAGCACTCAGAGGAAAGACTCTGTGCTCTATGATATATGGACCCATAGGGTGGCCCCTCATGAAAGGTCCTTTTTTAGGAAACTAGGAGGGTGAAGGAGACAAAGCAACTTCATTTAGCATGCTGAGGTCTATACTCCTAGGAACAGACTGCTCACCAGGACCCATATATACTCCTGCTGATTCACTGGCTGTCTATGCCATGTTATGGCAGAATGTTTAAAATGAAACTACCACTCTGAATTAATGCCTTAACTGTACCAAGGAGTCCAGTGAATGTTTTTCCTTATAACCCTGGGGATCAGAGTCTTGTGCCAGCAGAGGCATTGTCAACAGCTGCAGAGAAATACACGTATTAGGCTCCTGTCCAGCAGCTTACTCAGAGAAGTACAGTGTCAACTGTACTGTACAGTTGTACATGAAGTACAACTTCAATATCTGAAGTTGTTTCTCTCTCTCTCTCATCTTCACATGTTTAAACCTACATCACCCCTCAGCAAAGCACCCCCAAATCCACAGCACACATTTTCTCTCATTCCAATACCCTTAAATCTTTCATTCTTCTCTCTGAAGACCCCAAAACCCACAACTTTAGTGTCCTTCTCACTCTGAGACCCAAAATCACAAGCTCAGAGGCTCACACATGCAAAAATTCCAGAATATTCCATTCTGAAATTTGTCTATTGTTACCCCCTCCCCCCCGCCCAGAGCCCACACCCAAGGACAGGCCCTTCACAAGGAGCCACAAATTCAGTCTTCGGCACACTCTCTGTAAATCACATAAGTTGCCTCATAAGCTATTGGCTGCATCCCAAACTGAGCTGGAAGTCCAGCAGAAATTGTAGTTCGGAGGTGATACAACACAGTTACATAAACAGAACCAGAATCTGCCCTTCTGCCCAGGAGGTATAAAGTCAAACCACCACGCCAGCCTTCACCATCTCACTGCCACTCTCAGTGCCACCATGCTGGCCTCAGGGCTGCTCCTGGTGGCTTTGCTGGCCTGCCTCACTATAATGGTCTTGATGTCTGTCTGGAAGCAAAGGAAGCTCTGGGGAAAGCTGCCTCCTGGCCCACCTGCATTGCCTTTCATCGGGAACTACCTGCAGCTGAACACTGAGCAGATGTACAACTCCCTCATGAAGGTGTCAGCAGGCAGGGAGATAGGTGGTGGGGTGGAGCTGAGGGCCTCTTCAGTCTGGCTGGGACTTTGTGGTTAGGGATTGGGAAGAATGGGCCAAAATCACAGGAAGAGGGTGTTTTGAAAGTTTAGCGTCAGGGTCCTAGCCAGGAAAGACCAGATCTTGGGGTGTGCAGTCCCTTGACTGTCAGAACCTGGGCAAAATGAGTGCCATTCTGTCAGGGCTGGATACAGAGCCAGTTCAGACTTGAGGCTGTGTGCACTCACCACTCCTGCCCCCCTCCTTCAGATCAGGGAGCGCTATGGTCCAGTGTTCACGGTACACATGGGCCCGCGACGGGTGGTGGTGCTGTGTGGCCAGGAGGCTGTGAAGGAGGCTCTGGTGGACCAGGCAGAGGAATTCAGTGGGCGAGGCGAGCAGGCCACCTTCGACTGGCTCTTCCAAGGCTACGGTGAGGAAAATCCTGTGTGGGGTCATGCAAATTTAATGACCTCAGTTTCCCCAGCATTCTGCTGCCAACTGATCCACCCACTCAGGCCTGTGTCAGAGCTCTTCCTCTCCATTTTTATCTCCATCCCTGTTATCCCTGTGACCCGTCCAACTTCTCTTAGTGTGTCTGCATCTCCCTGCTTCTCTCTACTCCATCTCCCACTTCTCTCTCATTAACCATCTCTCCTCTCTGTATCTCTTAGAAGCTCTTGAGATTTTTGCTTTGGATGCCTGGTCCCATATCTCCATGTTCCTTTTTGACTTATTCTCTTTCTAATTTTCTGTGCTTCTCCATGTTTCTCTCTCCACCTCCCTGCCTCTTTGTCCTAGAATTTTATACTATCTTTTTTCCAAAATGCACATGCCTCCACTTCTTGTTACTACTCTTCTGTCTCCAGACCTTCTCTGTTTCTTAGTATGTATTTTTCACCATTCTCTACCTTCGTTTTAGGATCCCTATCAATTTTTACTTCCACCTCCCAGATCTCCAGATACCTCACTTTCCCTGCTTCCCTCCACTATCTCTCTCTCTCTTCCTGTGAGTGTCTCTGCATCCCACTGTTTCTCTGTGCACCCATCTTTCACCTTTCCTTCTGATTTCCTTCCAACTTGTTCTCTGTCCTCTATCTCTTTTTGTACTTCTTCCTCTGCCATTCTCTACATCTCTCTTTCTCTCTGCCCACACTTTCAGTTCCCTCCCCTCTCTAAGCCCACTCCCCACGCCTACCCCTTTCCCCAGGCCCGGTTTTTAGCAACGGGGAGCGTGCCAAGCAGCTCAGGCGCTTCTCCATCACCACGCTGAGGGACTTCGGAATCGGCAAGCGGGGCATTGAAGAGCGAATCCAGGAGGAGGCAGGCTTTCTCCTTGAGGCATTTCGGGGCACACGTGGTGAGCTGGGTACTCCAGGGTATGGAGGAGGAAAACGCACTACATGGACAGGCGCTTTCTGACCTAGGGAGGGAACTGGGTTGGGAAAAGTTGTTCCTGGAATTCACAGACTGCATCAGATCATCAAGTTCACTCTACCAAATCCCTTCTCACTTTCTGACCCCACACCACCTCTCAGGCACCTTCATAGACCCCACCTTCTTCCTGAGCCAAGCTGTCTCCAATGTCATCTGCACCATTGTGTTTGGGGACCGTTTTGACTATGAGGACAAAGAGTTCCTCTCACTGCTGGGCATGATTCGGGGAAGCTTCCAGTTCACAGCTACATCTACTGGGCAGGTAAATGGTCCTGCCCCGGTTCAACGTGGACCCTACCACAACCAACCACCTACTCTTCCACATGGACTCAAGGTGCCCAAATCCTATTCTCTTACAGACACTGTTCCTTTAAAATGAGTCTTCTTCCTTGCACAAGTAAACCTAGGAGAGGTGCCCAAAACCCACTTTCCAATACCTGGATATCTCAGCTGTACTTCTACAAAAACAAAAGGGAAGAAAGTGACAGAGGGTGGGGGTAAGGAAAGGAGAGAAGGAGGGAGAAAAGGAGGAATTCTAGATCTGTATCCCAACCCAATTTCACTAAATTCTAGGAAAAAGGTACTTCACACGTAACTCACTTGAAATTATAGATATCTACTGCATCCAGTCCCACCTAAATACCTAAACATCAGTTCTGGTGCCTTTAAACTAGTGCTTCCCTTGCCCTGACACAAGTTCCACTCCCATTTGATGATGGCCATCAACTCGTGTCCTTCCCTTCTCTTCTCCACACCCCACCATCAGCTATATGAGATGTTCTACTCAGTGATGAAATACCTACCAGGGCCCCAGCAACAGGCATTTAAGGAGCTTAAGGGGCTGGAAGAGTTTGTAGCCAAGAAGGTGGAGCAGAACCAACGCACGCTGGATCCCAACTCCCCTCGGGACTTTATTGACTCCTTCCTCATCCGCATGCAGGAGGTACATGTCAGCAGCCACTGGTGAGACAGCAGTCACACTGGGGGTCCTGCCCCGGTGTGCAGGACCGGGGCTCACGCATTTTTCCCACTACATCGTAATAATCCTCATAACTCCAATGAATTAACCATTACTGTTCTCTCTACTGAGCTCTTACCCATGGGCTGGACTTCCATGTGCAAATCATAAGCACAAGCACATCCACAACACTATCACGCAACAGGCACTATTTTCACAACTTTAGGGTTTTCACATACTTAACACTTATACCAGTTCTTGTAGGGGTCTGCTATGATCTTGGTTTTAGGAATGAGGAAACTGAGACCCAGAGAGTATAAGTGCCATGCCTGAGGTCACGCAGTGAGGAAGCACTGGAACCTAGCTCAAATCCTGGCTTCTCAGACTCGAAGGCCAGTGCTTTCAGCCTCCATACTCTTACCTTTTGTTCCCTGATTATCAGGTAACCTGTGTGAACAGGTGACCTGGCTTTACTGTGACACCTGAGAGTTCCCACTCCTAGCTGAATGTCAGTCTCCCTTCTGTAAAGAAAGGAGATGGGGCTTTATGGAGTCTTAAGTTCAAGATGAAAGGATCGGGGAGTGGATTCTTCACAATAAACTGCAAGGTTTTTTGGGGAGGGAGTACTACACCGCTGCTTAAAAGTCTGTCTCTGTTTCAGAAAATATCTCTTCAACTCTCTCTGAGGCAATCTATCATGGTTTCTCTACCTCTCTTTTCTCATTCACTGTCTGTAACCACTTCTCCCTTTCTAAATATTTCTACAATTAAAAAGTGGTAACTAAACCGATAATTAAAGGACATATAGTCAGCTGGGTAAGGAGTGTGAGAAGAGCATTTGGGGAAGAAGCGGCAGCCTGGAATAGGTTTGGAACACCTAGGGTCCTTCTTACCACCTTTGGAATTTGAGAGCATGGGGGAGTGGGCTAGGCCTGAAGCTGTCCTTCCCTGCAGGAACAAGAGAATCCCAACACAGAGTTCTACTTGAAGAACCTCATAATGACCACACTGAACCTTTTCTTTGCGGGCACCGAGACGGTCAGCACAACCCTGCGTTATGGCTTCCTCTTGCTCATGAAGCACCCAGATGTGGCAGGTAAGGCTGTATGGGGCAGAGAAATGAAGGCCACAGACTCTCAAACTTCCTCTGAGTCCACTGTACTTCCTCACCTCTCAAATCCCCTGGGCCCTCAGACACATCCTGCTAAACACACACTAGGTGATGATACTCAGATAATAGACATCAGCCAAATTTCATTCCCAGTTAAAATATTGAAACAATCTGAACTGATTAGTAAATAGCTCCTGTGCTCAGCCCACCAAGAGCCCACTGCCTGCCCCTGAAGACCATTCCCCAAGTCTTCTCCCTCACAGATTCCCCGATGATTCTGGCACAGCCAGGTCATCAGGACCCAGTGCCAACAATGTCTCGGGACAACCTAATTAATTGTTTCCTCCATGTCACACATGAGGTCATGTGTGTCATGTCATATATCCAGTTGTGCAGATTTGCAGATTTGCACATTTATCATCCCTGCCCAGAGACCACTAGGTACCGAAACATATTTTCCCCTATCTACCAGCCAAGGTCCATGAAGAGATTGACCGAGTGATTGGCAAGAACCGTCAGCCCAAGTTCGAAGACTGAGCCAAGATGCCCTACACAGAGGCAGTAATCCATGAGATCCAAAGATTCGGAGACATTATCCCCATGGGCCTGGCTCGTAGAGTCACCAAGGACACCAAGTTTCGCAACTTTCTGCTCCCCAAGGTGCTGCCCTTGCCCAGTCTACATGGATCTCAAACCTGATCCCTGTGACTCAGCACCCCACTGTCCTTAAAAGCTTCCCAGTGCCTGTCTGACTCTCTCAACCTGTCGACTTCCTCAATCACATGTCCCTTCAACTTTCCCACTTGGATACACCTGAATCCCCTGTGTACCTATGACCTCTTGCCTTAGGTCTTAGGTACATATGAACCCCATGTCCCCCCAACTTTGTATCCCAGGTGACATTAACCTCACTCCCAAAGCCAGCCTGCATCTGGGACATGACTGACTCATGGCCCCCAATCCTCCAGCCCCAGGAGGCACAGACCCCAGGTTCCCTGAACTTTTGGTCACAGGGACTTAAAACTCATATCCCCCAAATCTTCTACCTCAGGAAAGACCCTGACTCCCATGCCTCCCATTTCTTCTCAACTATGGTACCCAAATACCCCCTCTAATTCCATGAGCTGACAGCACACACATTCCTCCTTTCACTTATCAAATCCCCTTCCCCCTCCCCACCAGGGCACTGAAGTGTTTCCAATGCTGGGCTCTGTGCTGAAGGACCCCAAGTTTTTCTCCAACCCTCTTGATTTCAACCCCCAGCACTTCCTAGATGAGGAGGGGCAGTTTAAGAAGAATGATGCTTTTGTGCCTTTCTCCATCGGTAAGAGACTACTGTGTGATGCCAAGCCACCAGTCACAGCAACAGGGACCCCTTCATCCCAGCTCCCCTCTCTGAGGTGTGGCCTAGTGTTTTCCTCCACCTTGGAAGTCCCTCTTATGTTATACCCTGCAGACAACCAGCTGCAAACTTCATAACTACCAAGTACCTACCCAGTCAGAAAGAAAGGGATGATTATATCCATTGCAGAAATGAGAAAAGTCAAGGCCCAGAGAGACTGAGAGTCTTGTCCAAGTTCACTTACATTGTTCAGATTTTTAAGAAGGAGATGGCTGCACAGTAGCCATATGAGTGTGTTTGAGAGGAAGGGTCATGTAAATTCCCATTGCTACATCCTGATATGACTCACCCCAGTCCCACATACAAGGGAAACTGAGGCTGAGGGAGCTTAGGGGCTTCTCTGAAGGTCTCTCAGGCCTTCCACAGACTGTCCCCTCCTCTCTGGGAGAATACATCAGGAATAGGGAGAAAAGTAGACCTCACCTCCTCCCACCTGTCTTTTCAGGAAAGCGGTACTGTTTTGGAGAAGGCCTGGCTAGAATGGAGCTCTTTCTCTTCCTCACCACCATCATGCAGAACTTCCACTTCAAGTCTCTGAAGACACCCCAGGACATCGATGTGTCTCCCAAACATGTGGGCTTTGCCACCATCCCACCAAACTACACCATGAGCTTCCTGCCCCACTGAGCTAGAAATGTAACTGCCCCTACAAAGTCCCAGGGCTAGTGGGAGAACAAACGGTTGAGGGGTGTGGCCTGGGTGGGGTAGAGTTGGGGGGGGCTGAGAATGTAGGCAGTGGGCTGGAGAAAAAGAAGGTGCAAGGTGGATAGTAGAGAAAAAAAAACAGATGAGTTGTCTATTCACATGCTAGAGACTGAGCCTTCAGAGCTGGAATGAAAGGAAGCAAATGTACTATGAATATAGTAATATCAGTTCTATGAATGATAATAACAGCTATTCTCTATTAACATGTACTCTGTGTCAGCTCTATGCTCAAATCATTACACACTTGCTGCCCTTGAGGCTCACAAACCTGTGAAACAGGAACTGTGCTTGTGCCCAAATTATGGGAGATACAGCTGACACTCAGAAAGTCTCTATCTGAGATTCAACAGAACACAATAAATGCTCAACAAGTACTTGAACTCAGATCTGCCCAAGTACAGCTATCCTAAGCCTACTAAACTTTGGATGGGTTCTTAAGAGTCACCTCTTCCTAAACTAAGATATAACAGCTTAGTATATTATTATACAATGTGAAGGGCTCTGTCAAAAAATGTTTCCAGATTCTGGGCAGGCGGCCAATTTGCTTCCACACACTTGCCTACACTCTTGCTCATTCACTCAGATTTCACATAGTTGGGCATAGTTGCTCAGTGTAGACTAACTAAGCGAGGTGATGGAGTCTAAGATATTGTTCTCCTGCACAGTGGCTCTGTGTGAAGCAGGGCTCAGAAAAGGAACATGGCTGTTGTCTACAGTCATTTCTGGGGAGAATCTGTCTCCCAGCTGTCATCCTGATGCCAGACACTTCAGTTCTTCCACATGTATCCCTGGTGTCCTTCAAGGTGCTTGCCCCATGGTGGAGCCTGCAGGGAGTGGGTCTGAGTAAGTTCATGTCCAGGGTTCTCCAAGAGTAGAAGCCTGAATACCCCACTGACCCAACCTTCACTGGTTTGTACAGCCAGAAGTTATGGGGACTTAGCTTCCTAGCACTGGAACCCTGGGCTGACTGGGATGCTGTGCGCTGGGATCCCTCACTACTGAGATGTCACCACAATTTATATCCACCACATATGGGTATGAGACTGGCCCCATTCCAAATCTTCCTGTCTTTGCCCCTCCACCCTTCCTACCCATATGTATGAATGTTGTTTCTTTAATTCCTTAGTTCTCAGACTTCCATATAGCTTACGTTTCCTGATGGTTGTGAGTGATGGTTCTGTAGTTTAGCTGTCATTTTCTGTGGTTGTGTAATGAGGAGACCATGTTGACCTACATCTCCATCTTTACTAGAAGCTATAAGACAGAATATATTATTTTTCTTTGTTTGTTTTAAAATTTTAGATTGTATTTATTTATTTTTAGGGAGAAGGGAAGGGAGAGAAAAAGAGTGGGAGAGACACCTTGATGGGAGAGAGAAACACTGATTGGTTACCTCTGAAATGGCCCCCACTGGGGAACTGGCCCACAACCCAGGCATGTGCCCTCACTGGGAATTGAACCTCTGACTCTTTATTTCACAGATTGGCATCCAATCCGCTGAGCCACACTCACAAGGACAAAACGAAATATTATTGTTTGAAAAGACAAAAACAAAAGCTGGGTTAGTTTCGTTAGCTTCCAGAAGTATTCACTGTGACCATGTTCCTCTGAAGCAGGCTCATTCTCCCAGTCCTGGCTACACTCTCCAAATCACCTGCATGTTCCACACTTGAAAGTAGGAATGTTCAGAACGTATGGCACACTGGGGGCTCCAATATTAGTACAGGTAAAAGGTGAGTTTAAAAATCACAGCCAAGTTCAAATGTTAATTTTCTAGAAACTCATATTAGTTGATCAAAAGCACAAAAGAACAGAAGGAAAGTTTTGGTGATGAAGTTAAACTATGCATTTTAGTAAGTTCTTCTGCTCACAGAACACAGGGTGAGCCACAGGGTGGAGAAGGCAGTTGGAGTAGCCTCTTCAACTCCTGTGTGTCACGTGAAGACACGGTGGGTCCTAGCTGAGTCACAAAGGGCATCTCAGTGGGAACTTTATCTGTTAGGCTTCTTTCTTACATCACTAAGCATCCAAATGGTTAGTTCTTTCCTGCCGTATGATATACATGCAGAAGAGTCAATATACCTAAGAGTGAAATTTTTAACTGCAGCCTTTGACAAATTAACTTTGCTGCAAAATTGAGTTTTCAGAAATTGTACTCTTTAAAGATTTTATTTATTTATTTTTAGAGAGGAGAAAGAAAGGAAAGAGAGGGAGAGAAACATCAATGTGTAGTTTACTATCCCACATTCCCTTCTGAGGACCTGGCCTACAATGCAGGCAGGTGCCCTGACTAGGAATTGAACCAGTGACCTTTTGATTCACAAGCCAGCACTCAATCCATTGAGCCACACCAGCCGCCATGCATTTTACTAAATTCTACTATGATCAATATATTCTCTTATTTGAGTAATACTGTGAAATGTGAGAAAAGGCACAACTTTGGAGGGGTAAAAGCGATCTTTTCCTATAGATGGTGTAGGGCACTGGGTGACAACACAGAGAACAAGAATTAATTCCATTTTACAGGACAGGAGCTCCTCTCAATTTATTGGTTTCTGGCACAGTCAGGGAAATACACCTGTTCCTCATGAAAAACAAAGTACTTGTTGGCCAGATTCATGGTGCCTTTTTTATTTTCTTACAGTGGAAGCAATAGACCCTCCACAATTGTCCTTCATGGGCCACCACACTGGATGGAGCCTTTACCAAACCCAGTGATGGGGTTCTTGCATCTAGCACACTTCTTGGCCACAAAGTCCTCGTAGCCATCCACACAGTAATACTGGTCCTCCAGAGTGGTGAAACACAGCCCAGCCAGCTTCTTAGATCAGTTAACACACACAAGGCACTTGGCATGCCAGAGTTTACCATGGACAGTGACTTGTCCTGGTTTAATAGCCTTGTTCAGTTTCATGCAATGCTTGGCAAGTTTGGCCTCATGGCAAGTCATGCAGTACAAGTCCCCCTTTAAAGAAGAAGCTCCCAGTCCCAACGACTAGCTTGCACCTGCTGATGGTGAAGTAGTTTTTGTGCCAGATGGTCCCCATGGACCCCGCTTCTAATCTCCTGCTACAATGAGCTTGAAGCAGCCCTTGGACTTTAGGGAGTCCTCTTGCATGGTGCACTTCTTCCACGGGCTTTTGTTGTCCTTAGACACAAAGGTTTCTTTGGTCAAGGGGTGCAGGCCCCAGTCACAGTGGTAGCAGGTGTCATGCCACTAGCAGAATTTCTCTAAGCACTTCAGGCAGCAGTGGTGGCTATCCTTCTCCAAGCACTTTTTCCCCTGCTGGGCATCCGTGTGGTGGTAGCAGTCAAGCTTCTCAGCCATGGTGCTCAGCTTGCCCCAGGAGGGATCTCACACTAGATGTGTGCACAATGGGATATGTTTGGCAAGGGTGGAATATAGAAGTCAGCAACTTCCCATGTGCTGCCTGGGGATGCTTGGCAGTGCAGCTGTCCTAGAGGAGGCCTCCATCGGCCCCAAGTCTGCAGGCTGTCCAGCACCAGCAGTGGTGGAGGCAGACTCTGACCACTTCTTTACTCTCTAGTACTACAAAATGTCCCTGGATTGTCTTATCTTTGTCCTGCCCCTGGCCTGGAATCAAGTACTTCTTCAAGGTGTCCTGGCTCCTCTAAGCTAGTAGCATGTGATTGAGAGGGGTTCAGGTGGAGCAAAGTGAGAGCTCCTGTCTACCAAGGGCCAGTCCAACTGTGAGAGTCCCTGTTAACACAGGAAAGGTTTGGAAGACATTAGAATCACTGCATTGTGGAGACTGAGAATCCCAGACACACCCCATTAAGACTAATATACCTGAATCCCTGCAGAAGAAAGTGAGAAGAAATTACCCCATGCCCACCAAATCTTTTACTGAGTCTACTTTCTATCTGGTTCTGGGGTGGATGGTGGTCCTCTCTCCCTTTCTCTCCCTGGGCCCAAGAAACTCCATGCAGAAGACAACACTCATATTGCCCCGAGCCTTCTTCATTACAGCCCTAGGTACTCAGAGACATTTGTGGTGACATGCAAAGGGTTGAGGGCATTGAGGAAGTAGCCTCCTTAATCAATCACAAGCCTGGAGAGTTGACCTGGGGCTGGAGGTAGAGATAGGGGAGCTGATAAACTGAAAACAGGCCTAAGATGCAGAGGTTTTCAGTGGAGCAGAAGAGGAGCCTCCCCCCATGGGCACATTAGTGAGTGAGAATACACCATTAAGCAGGTCTCCTACTTTCACCAATAGTGGCTGGAATGGAGAAGAATAAGCAAAGGAGAAATTTGGAGGAGGGCACACGTGGAAGAAAGTCATAGGCAGACTCAAACAATTCCAGATATTGCACCTCAGTGGCACAGTTGACAGTCAGAGAGTGTTCTAATTAGTAATAGTCACATTACTATTATCATTGTTGTTATTAGTCCTCACCCCAGGATATGTTTACTGATTTGAGAGAAAGAGAAACATCGATCAGTCATCTTCTACAGGTCCATATGTGCCCAAGAGCTAGAACCCACAACCAAGTTACCTGCCCTGACTAGACATCAATTTGCAGCCTTTGGTGTACAGGGCTTCACTCTAACCAATTGAGCCACCCAGCCAGGGCAGTTGGAAGGGGGTATTACTGAAGGACTATGAGGAGAGGCAGCTTGTGTAGCAGGAAGCACAAGAGACTCTGGGTACAAGCACCAAAGCTTTGCAGAGCTGCCTGAGTGGGGGACTGGGGGGGGGGCGGTGAAGAGAGAAGCACAGCTGGAAGACATCAGGAAGGGAGACATCACACATGGGGGACAGTCAAACTCAAGCTCCTGGAAGTGGAAGGTGCCAGAGGTGGGAGTGAAAGACAGATGGAGAAGGAGGCTGCATGAACCAGAGGAGAGACAACAGCCACAGTCAGGAGAACCAGTCAAGGCCATGGCTATTTTGTGCTGGAGCCGACAGTGGTGCGTACTTTAGATGGGGCATCTGCTCTGAGCTCCAGTCCCCTCCCAGGCCAAATCACTTGCTGCTGACCTGTCAGGTCCCCAGGGGAATTTTAGGGTGGGGGCACGTGGGACTTGGGTATTAAAGGGCTTTGAATGCTAATCTGAAGGGCCTAGATTTGCTTCCTAGGTCCCTCCCTGAACAAGGGTGCTGAGCAATGGGTCTCATTGCTCAGTGCTCAACTCTCCAGTGACTACTAGAGATGTGCTGAGGAAGCTTCTGGCTGAGACTGAGGCAGACACCCTCAGGTTGTCTGTGATCAGGGGACAGAGGAGCCAAGTTTCCTGGGAAGCAAGTGAGAGGTACAACAGGGAAGGGATGGCTCTTCTGTCTGAACTGGGCTCCCTGATCACAATCCTGTCACTTTCCTCCTGAGTCACTGCATCACTGCATCCTGCTTCACTGCACACCTCCTCTTCCTACTCTAGTCTTCACCTCCTCCATGAAGCCAGAGGATGCTTTCCTAATATGACTATGTCTTTAATGCATTCATCAATCTAGTCAACTAATATTAATCGAGGATCCACTACCTACAGCACTGAGAATACAGCAAAGAATGAAACAGAAAAATGTGTCCTGCTCTCACAGAGCTGACATTCTAGTTGGGCTATGCCCTGTGTAGCTGAGAATATTTTCTGGGTCAGTGCTAGAAGTGGAATTGCTGAATCACGGTGTATGTGCAACTTGGACTCGGCTAGGTATTGCCAAATGGCTCTGCAGACTTGCTGAACTAATTTACACTCCCATCAACAGTGTACAAAGATTCCTCTGTTGTCCTTCAATACTTGATCCTATCAATTATAAAATGTTGCCAATCTGATGAGTGTGATATTACCTCATTTTTATTTACTTTTCTTTAAATAGCTGAGTTAAGCATTTCCTGTGTGTTGTCCATTTAATTTCCTCCTCTGTGAGCTGTCTCTTAATATATTTGCTTTTTCTTCAGGTTTAGAGAAGTTTATTATTTAGTGTAATTTTTTATCAGAAGGGTTCAGCCCCTTTTGAAAACCTACCTGATTGAGTCAGGCCCTCCAGAGATAACCTCACTTAGGAGTGACTCTAAATCAACTTATTTGGGTCTCTAATTTCCTCTGCAAAATTCGTTTAGTCAGGCAATGCCACACAGTCCTGGGAGTGTATTCCATTATATTTACACATCTCAGCCTTACTCTAGGAAAGGAGATTACACAAGGGCGTGGTCGTGGGGGATCATTTTAGAATTCTCCTTACCAAGAATATTACAGAAAGTTAAACATTTTTATTTCTTCCCAAAGGAGTAGTTTTTGTTCACATAATTCTACTTCTTTTCTGCTGCTGTTTTGTGCTTCCATTATTTATGCTATAATGTTTATTAATTTCACTTCTAAGATTTTTAAAAGTAAAAAGTTATTTTACTTTTAGTAAAACATTATTTTATTTTTAGTAAAAGTTATTTTATTTTCAGAGAGGGGGGAGGAAGGGAGAAAGAGAGGGAGACAAACATCAATGTATGGTTGTCTCTTGCACACCCTCCACTGAGGACCTGGCTTGCAACCCATCCATATGCCCTGACTGGGAATCGAACCAGCAATCCTTTGCTTTGGTTCACAGGCTGCCACTCAATCCATTAGTTTCAGGTGTACAGCATAGTTGTTAGATATTCACATAATTTATAAAGCAATAACTCTCCCTGGTAGTTTAAGTATCCACCTGTAATGGAATACAATAAGTATTGTAATAACAATAGTTATTACACTATTATCGACCATATTCCCTATGCTGTATTTTACTTCCCAATGACTATCATTGGTAGTCATCCCAATGACTACCAATTTGTACTTCTTTTTTTACTTTAAATATATATTTTTTATTTTATTGATTATGCCATTACATTTGTTCTATTTCCCCCCTCCATTCTCCTCCACCCTGCACACCCCTCCCCCACCATTCCCCACCTTTAGTTCATGACCACATGTCTCAAGTTCTTTAGATTCTATACTACCCCTATTCTTACCCTCCCCCTATCTATTTTCTATCTACTATCTATGCTACTTATTTTCTGTACCTTTCCCCCTTCTCTTTCTCCCACTGCCCTGTTGCTAACCTTCCATGTGATCTGCATTTCTATGGTTTACTCCTGATCTAGCTGTCCTTAGTTTGCTTTTGTTTTAGGTGTGGTTGTTGATAACTGTGAGTTTGCTGTCCTTTCACCGTTCATCTTTTTTTATCTTCTTTTTCTTAGATAAGTCTCTTTAACATTTCATATAATAATGGCTTGGTGATAATGAACTCCTTGAATTTGATCTTATCTGAGAAGCAATTTATCTGTCCTTCCATTCTAAATGAAAGCTTTGCTGGATAGAACAATCTTGGTTGTGGGTCTTTGGTTTTCGTGACTTGGAATACTTCTTTCCAGCCCCTTCTTGACAGTCTGATGGGAAGTCCTTTGTAGGTGACTGTCCCCTTATCTCTTGCTGTTTCTAGGATTCTCTCCATTTTAATCTTGGCTAATGTAATTATGATGTGCCTTGGTGTGTTCCTTCTTGGGTCCAACTTCTTTGGGACTCTCTGAGCTTCCTGGATTTCCTGGAAGTCTATTGCCTTTGCCAGATTGGGGAAGTTCTCCTTTATTATTTGTTCAAATATGTTTTCCACTTGTTGCTCTTCCTCTTCCCCTTCCGGTACCCCTATAATTCAGATGTTGGAATGTTTAAAGATGTCCTGGAGGTTCCTAAGCCTCTCCTCATTTTTTTTTTAATTCTTCTTTCTTCATCCTTTTCTGTTTGGTCATCTTTTCCTTCCTTCTGGTCTGCTCCCTTGATTTGAGCCCAGTTTCCTTCCCATTACTATTGGTTTCCTGTGCATTTCCCTTCATTTTAATTAGTTTAGCCTTCATATGTTCCTCTAATTTGTGACTAAAATCAACCAGTTCTGTCAGCATTTTGATCACCAGTGTTTTGAACTGTGCATCTGAAAGTTTGGCTACTTCTTCATCACTTAGATTTATCAGTTCAGGGGCTCTGAGTTGTTCTTGAGCCATGTTTTGATCTGTTCATGCCTGTTATGTATGAGAAGAGGGGCCTTAGGTGTTCACCAGGGCAGGGCCACCCAAGTTGCTGGTTTGTGATGCTGTATGTGGGGGCAAGGTCAGAGAGGGAGCAATGGCGCTCCTCTCCACTTACCCAATCCACTTCACTACTTGCCCCCGCCTGTTTATCTGAGCACAAATGTGCTCGTCCGCCACCCTGCACCCTGCACCAGGGCCTGTGCATGGTCTGTCTCAATGCACGTCTCTTCACTGGTTTATCTGCGAGCAAATGCGCGACCTCAGACAGCCAGCTGTGCCCCGAGCCTTCCCGTAGGTACCCTGCACCTGGGATCTGTGCCCTCGGCTGCTCGCGCGCCGCTGGGTTAGGGGATTGTTTTTGCCCAACCACTCCCCTGCTGGCCTCACCCCTCTCATCGGTTTAGCTGAGCGGTTCATTGTTTTTGGACTCCATATTGTTTGATTTTCTGTGGTTTGGTTGCATTTATTGTTGTTAAAACTTTGTTTTTAGATTTGGTTCTGCAAGGAAGCAAAGTGTTTCTACCTATGCCTTCATCTTGGGGGAAGTCCTCTGATTATTAACTTTAAAGAGACAGGAAGGGAGTGGAGAGAGAGGGGGAGAGAAACACCAGTGGGGGAGAGAAACACTGCCTGGGGAACTAAACCTGCAACCCAGGCATGTTTACTGAAAGGGAACTGAACCCGCAACCTTTCCATTGGTGCAGATTACATAAGAGTGGTGTTAATTCCAACAAACGTATTTAATTTTCAGTCCATTAGTCATAATATCTGCTTTCTTGTTATCTTTGCAAATAGTTCTTTGGGACACAATGTGCAAAGGTTATTTTCCCGTGTTAGCATTCCGAAGGTCTGAGGCATGAAAGGTGCAAGGCAGTGCCTCTGAGATGGCAGCCCCAACTCTGTTTTATTTTCTTACTTTTTATTAGATTTTATTTATGTAGTTTTAGAGAGAGGGCAAGGGAAGGATAAAGAAAGGGCAAGAAACATCGGTGTGTGGTAGACACATGGGTTGGTTGCCTCTCACACAGCCCCAACCAGGGACCCTGCCTGCAACCCAGGCGTGGGCCCTGTCCTGGAAAGGAACCGGTGCCTGACGAGACGGTGCCCAACCTACTAAGCCACACCAGTCAGGGCTCTGACTCCCTTTGGAAGTGGCTCTGTTGGTATTATTTGCTTACCTCTCTGTCTCTATGCATCTGGCCTCCCGTCCCTGTCACGCTCATCTCCCTCAGCTGTGTTCAGCTCTGTCTCTTTCTCCCCGTCTGTCTCTGACTCTCTCTCAGTGTAGACTTCGGTGTCTCAGGAAGTATACGCCTCTCGGCCACTCCATCTCTCTCTGCTCTTTCTCTAGCTCTGTGTCTCTATTTCTGTCTCTTTCATTCTCTGGTCTCTCTCTGCCAACCCTCTTTCTATGGGGTTTCTCTGTCTGGCTCTCTACCCCGTGTCTTGGTTTGTCTGTCTCTGTCCCTGTGTGTCTCTCTTTATCGCTGTCTCTGCGAGAGGGTCCGTCTCATGAGTGACGATGGATACATAGATGGATGGATGCTGGACAGACATCTACAGATACTTATTTAGCTATCTCACTGTTCTTCTGTACCCCTCTTTAACTCCATGTGTATCTGTCTTTTGGTCTCTCTCTCTTCTCCATCTCCATCTGTCTCTGTCTTTATTTCTGTCTCTCTGTCTTTTGACTACCTCTGCCTCTGTTATCTGTCTCTGTCTCGCCCCTTTCCTCCATTCCCCCCTCCCCATCCTCTGGTCTTTCCTTGTCTCCTCTACCCAGTACCTCCTTTCTTCTCTCCATGCGCCCGCATTTCCAGGACCTGGGGAATTACATTCCAGAGGAAATGGGATCCCACTCCCTCCCCACCCCTACCCTTTCCCACTTTGCCCCTCCCCCAGATGCCTGCAGATGTCTTTGCCATGGACAGTATAAGCACAGCCATGCTGCTCCTGCTTCTGGTTCTCACCTCTCTGTTCCGACCCTCAGCTCAAGGAGCCAGGGCCAGCTGACCCCAGGCCCCTCCTATTCCTGTGAAACTTGGTGCAGTGTCACTTGCATGACATGCTGACCTCTCTCATCAAGGTGTAAGGGCCTAGGCTTCGGAGAGGGGAAAGGGGTCCTATGGCCCCAGACACCCCTGTGACCTCTGCCTTCTCACCCCCAGCTGAGCAGGGAGTATGGCTCTGTGTATGCAGTGCACCTGGGGCCCAGGCCAGTGGTGGTCCTCAGTGGGTACCAAGCCATGAAGGAGGCCCTCATGGACCAGGGAGAAGAGTTTAGTGGCAGTGGCAGCTACCACACCTTTTTCAACTTCCCTGAGGACAATGGTAAGCCTGCTCCCAATCTCCTCCACCCACCCCTCACCCCGCCCATGGAGAGAGGAAATAAGGCAGGAGACTGTGCTCCCAATTTTGGTGACACTCAGAGTCACTGAACTCACTGATGTCACCAGATGTGGTGGAGCCAAGCAGTTCTAGTCCAGAGTGAAGTCTGACCTGCCTTTTCCAGCCCCAAATCCTACCAAGTCACTGAGTGGCCCTTCCACACCAATACCCATCTCTATCCAACTGCAGCTCCGCTCTCCTCCCAATCCCCATCTCTACTCCAGTCACATCATCAGCTTTTCATGTCAGTCAGGTGACCCAGTTATCTGGCCCTAGTCCACATTGTCCACTTCAACCTACGCCCATCAATCCTACCTCCATGTCCCCCATTTCCATCTCCACCTGCAAGACTGACTGCATCTCACCCCAACCTCCATTCCCACTATGAACCCTCTCCCAACCCCCATGTTAAAGTGTATCATCAACCACCCTCTAATACTTTAGTCAAACTGAACTCCACTATCATTTTTCCCACCCCACCCCATCTTCTATCCCAATCACCTATTGAAGTTGTCAGTACCCAGTTCCCATTTCAAACCTGAATCTTGCTACCATCACTCAAAACAACCCCATCGTATGTCTATCCAACCCCAAGCTCAGTCTCAATCCTTGTCTACCAGTTCTTCTCATTCTGCTGAACTCCATCCCCATGGCCAACCTCAAAGCCAGTCAATCATCAATTCCCAGGCTCCCTTCCTGCCCCACTGCCATCCCCATCCCAACCCAAAGCCAATTCCACCCCCATCCATCCAGCAATCATAACATTAACTACAAACCCATCCTGTCTTAATATTCTGTTCTCCTTAGGCTTGGAAATCACTTTGTCTTATGGTTTTTCTTAGATTTTATTTATATATTTATTTTTAGAGAGGGTAAAGGAGGGAGAAAGAGAGAGAGAAATATCAATGTGTGGTTGCCTTTCACATGGCCCCAACTGAAGATCAGGCCTGAAACCCAGGCATGTGCCCTGACTGGGAATTGAACTGGTAACCCTTTGGTTTGCAGCCTGTGCTCAATCCAGTGAGCTATGCCAGCCAGGATGGTTTTTCTTTTTTCTTTTTTTTTTAAACACAAATCTCTTAGTCAAAGGAAGACATATGACAAGGCCCAATAAATAAGGGGGGTGGAGAGAGGGAGAGAGAAAAGAAAAGAAAAGAAAAGGAAAGAAAAGAAAAGAAAAGGAAAGAAAAGAAAAGAAAAGAAAAGAAAAGAAAAGAAAAGAAAAGAAAAGAAAAGAAAAGAAAAGAAAAGAAAAAAGAGCTGCTCCGATTTAAAGAAAAAAAGGGGGGGGGGTCCTGGAGTCCTGCATCCTGTACTATTCTTCTCCCCTAAAGAATCCCCAGGAGCTAGCATCTTCACTAGATGGATCCCAGGTGCCCCCAGATTTTGAATTGAAGAGCTCTGGAAATAAACAAACAAACAAACAAATCAATCTGCCACCACTTATGGTATATTGAGTATACTTTTCTCCTTTATGTCCCCTTCCCTAGGCTTGATCTTATGACCTCACCTATCCAGATATACCAGTTGCAAGGAGGTGACGACAAGGCAGTTGAGAAACTCACCTTGATACTTTTGCATAGAAAACATCTGTGCATATATCATCCGTTACTAAAAAATAGCTACCATCTAATGGTTTGATACAGAACACAAAGGGTAACATCGAGGGTCAGCCCCCACCCTGCCCCTACCTGTGCTACCATGCAAAGGTTCTTACAAGAAATTGATGAGATAGAGCCCTGGCTAGTGTAGCTCAGTGGATTGAGCACAGGCCTGTGAACCAAAGGATGGCGGTTCAATTCCCCATCAGGGCACATGCCTGGGTTGCAGGCCAGTTCCCAGCAGGGGATGCACCAGAAGCAACCATACATTGATATTTCTCTCCTTCTCTCCTTCCCTTCCCTTCTAAAGATAAATAAATAAATTTTTTTAAAAATTCATGAGATAATGCAATTTTTCTTCCTTAGCATCTAGTTCTCTCCTCATTCCAAAGGAATTAGAAATAAACATGCCTGAGGCCATATCGCATTGTACCTCCCAGTCCAGGAGGAGACACAGCCCCAGACTCACAGTCAGGGCAGGGATGAGGGGAGTCCAGAGAAAGCACCTGACCCAGCGGGGAGGGGGGCCAGGAATGGCTCCCTGGAGAAAGAGACCTCCAAGCTGGGACCTAAAAGGTGAACACGACCCGTCAGGGGCAGAGGGATGCAGAGTGCCGTGGGGAGAAGAGCCAGCCTGTGAGCAGACCCTGAGACTGGGGAGAGAAGCCAGCAGGGTCTTCCTAGCTTCCGGATGAGTTCAGAACGTCTCGCTGTTCCTTTTTCTTGCTTCTTTCCCTAATCCATACGTTCATTGATCAATAAGCTATCACCAGCACCTCCTGTGTGATAACCCCTGGCCTGGACAATGTTGGCAAGATGGTGGTGACCAAGGTAGGCTGCCACTGTGCCTTAGTGAAGGAGGCAGCCCCATCACCTGACTGTGACAGCCCAGGGCGATCAGGTCTGTGATGGGGGTTACCCAGGGTTCTGTGGAAGCTCAAAGGAGGCATCTGACCTGGCTTGGAGGCTCAGGGAGGGCTTACCGGGAGGGGTGGGGGGAGATGGCAGATTCACAGTCTCTCTCCCAGCAAATGACAGGAAAGGAGACTCAGATGGCAGTGGTCTCAGAGGCAAGTCAGAGGTTGGGCTGGCTCTGCCTCTTTCCCCGAGGCAGCACGTTCTCCAATGGGGAGCAGAGAAGGTCCTCAGGAAGTTCTCTATCCAGATTCTGTGGAACTTTGGGATGGGGAAGAGGAGCTTTGAAGAGCAGGCCATGGAGGAAGGCAACTTCCTGCTGGTGGGCTGTGGGAAACTGGAGGTGGGGGTCCCAAGGGCTGTCCATATCCCTAAGTCTATCCTACTGATACAGGGTGCAGCGGGGAGGGGGGGGGGCGCGCAAAAAAAGATTTGCAATGGTGTCCAGAACTCAAAGTGTATAGGACTGACTATTGGAGAGACATATAAGATGTTCTCACCCCTTCCCCCACAGGTGTGAGTTGGGGGAAGGGACACATGGAGCAGGAACATGCAGGGCTGTTTTGGACAGCCACAGCCTTGCAGCTAATCCATGGCAGGGTCATTTAACATATCTTTAGCCTTTGGTGGGTCACTTGGATATGTTAAATGGCTGTGGCCAGGCTTGGAGCTAGGGGGATGAAGTTACTTACCCCAAGATGTAACTGGGGGCAGGTCCCCCAAGTTACAGTGTGCCTGCTTGGGAGCTTGGAGAAGACCGGCTCCAGGACATGGGATGATGTCCCAGTCCCAGTCCTACTGAGTATCCTGCTGTTTGCTTTTCCCAGACGGCCTTATCACTCTCCCAGAGCGCCTGGGGTTTTGGGTGAACAAAGGTTTTCCAAAGCTTCCCACATTATGGGTACCATAAATCAGGAAAAGAGCACACATCTGTGTTGCAGGCCGCTGGCACCGTGAGCTGTGTCACTGTGTTACAGAACAAGAGGTCCGAGGGAGGGGCAATACAATATTTGGCCCACCTAGGGATGCCAAAAACTGCTATACAACAGGGGCCCCTCCCAAGGACAAAATACTGATATCTACTGGGCTCTTCTGTCTGCCACGAATTGGAAAGACATCTCTCAATGCCAGAGATTTGTGAAAAGGAAACAAAATGTTTATTTCATGCTATTCAGGCTTAATGCCACTACTAAAATATCAAAATCCTTTAGGTTGTACACCTACACCCACACAGCACTCCCTTCTCCCACTGTCCCAACTCCAGGTACCGTAAATCAGGAAAAGAGCACACATCTGTGTTTCAGGCCACTGGCACCATCAGCTGTGTCACCATGCAGGCAGGATCTCTCTCTAGTTAATCCAAAGCACTGTGGCACCCTCTCATGGTCCACTGGCAAGAGTTCTTTGTACCCAGTTCTACTCAAAGTCTCTCCTGCTTCCCAGGCCATGCAGCCAAAGGGAGCACCCCAAAGTCGCGTGGGCCTCTTCTACCAAAGCTGCAGGGGTCCGCACTCCACCAAAAGCATGTGGCTTTCTTCATCTGGCTGCAGGGGGCCCCATTCTGGCCAAGAGGGGACCCTTACTTTGCCCCAAACCGCATGGTCCTCTCCTCACCTGGGCAGTTATCCCCTCATGTCCTGGAGCCCATCTTTTCCAAGCTCTCCCTCAGGAGTACAGCCCCTCGTTCCATTCTGGGTAGAAGCCACTCCCTTCTCCCTGGCTCAAAACTTGGCCACCGCTATTTAACATATCTATGAAACCAGTTAAAGGTTACAGATATGTTAAATAACCATTCCAGAGGTTAGCTACAAAACTGTTGCTATGCAAAACGGCTCTCACTGGCCCTGGCTCTATTTGTCCCTTCCCCCAACTCACATCTGTGGGGGCGGAAGGGGTGAGGACATCTTATATGTCTCTCCAATACTCCTATACACTTTGAATTCTGGACACCATTGCAAATCTTTTTTTTTTTTGCCCCCCCCCCTTGGCTGCACCCTGTATCACCAAGATTAAAACCCATGTCTTACTGACACCAAAGTCCACATTCAACACACTCGTGCCCACTTATGAAGCACTTACTGGATACCACACACTGTGCTAAACTCTTCACACATGTTAAGCAGCTTCACCCTCCCCACAAGCCTCGGCAATTGTTACAGTGACAAACCTGAGTCCCAGAAAGGTGAAGTCATATGCCCAGGAAGTGGCTGAGCTGGGATACAAACCCATGGAAAAAAGGTAATAAAACTTTCAAACATTTTCATGGTGCCTACCATATGCCAGATCTGTCCCAAGAATTTCATGTATACTACTTCCTTGTAAAATCACCCAAGACTAAGGCGTAGGTCCCATCATAAGCCCCATTTTATAGAAGAAGAATCTGAGGCAGAAAAGTAAACAGCACTCTTGCCCAATCTCCAAGTCCTGCTGGTTCGGGGACAGCAGTGAAATATGGTAGGTGATGATGCTGTATAGATTCAGTGATGCGAGGTAAGTAGAAGGATAATTGCCTGTACTCGTTTCCTATTGCTGCTGTAACAAATCCTCACAAATGTAGCAAGTTAAAACAACACAAATTCATTGTCTTGCAGATCTGGAGTTCCAAAGCATAAAACGGCTCAGCAGGGCTTCTTCTTTCTGGAGGCTCCAGGAGAAAAAGCCACTTCCTTGCCTTTTCTTTTCTAGCCTCTGGAGCCTACCTACATTTGTTGGCTCCTGGCCTCTCTCTCATCTGCAAAGACAGCTACATAGTATCCCCCAATCTCTCTCTCTCCATCATCACATCCCCTTTTCTCCCTCAGACTCTTCTGCCCCCCTCTTATAAAGACACTTGTGATTGCATTAGGCCAGATAATGCAGAATAATCTCCTCATCTCAAGAGCTTTAACTTAACCACGTATCCACAGGTTCTTGGAGATTAACACACGAACATCTCTGGGGAGCCATTACTCAGCCTATGGCAACACCCTGGTCTGCAACAGGCTCACCATGGCCCAGGCCCTTAGCTAAGCACTTCCCCACCACGCACTCCATTGTAACAGCCCCATCAGAAAACAGTCATCAAGCCCACTTCACAAGTGAGAAAAATGAGGTTCGGAGAAAGGCAGTCAGTTCACTCAGGTCACACGGAGACCAGAAGGCCAAGCCAAGATCCATACTCTACCGACTGAACTCCAGCCCTGTTTTTCTGGGTTCTGCTGTTATGGAGTGGCTAATGTGTTGGAGTGCATGTTGTTTTAGTATTATCTTCTGTGGTCTGCGTTTGGTTGTTGGATCATGGGGTGCCAGGTGTGGTACTGCTGCGTGGTGTTGCTGGGTGAGGTTGCAGCGCTGCCAGGTCCTGCCCATCACGTTGTCCCGCGCTGTCTCCCGTAGCACCCATGTTGTTATGTTGCTGTACACCGTGTGTCGATCTGTTCTGTTGCCCTTATTGTACATGTTGTGATACCACACACAGCGTGTTCTGTGCCATCTGCTGTGTGTTGTGCGATAATGTAGCAATATGCTGGTGTTACATGTCTGTGCCTTGGGCTGTTTCTGGGCCAGCTAATTAGGTCACTGTGTGTCCTGCGTGTTGGCATGAACTGAGGTCATATTTGCTGGGTGTTTTGGCATGTTACGTGTTCTGCGATGCTTGATGATTGACATGCGTTGGTGTGCTGTGCATTGCGTCGCCAAATATATTTCGGGTGCTGCTACGCTGCACGTTGGGCAGCCAGGAACGTACGTTCTGTGCTGCCAGTCGCCAGTCCTCTTACCACGATTGGCTGGATGATGTGCAAATGGGGACTGTTGCTGCATGAGCCCTGGCGTGTTTCCTAAGCGTGCCCCCGACCCTCTTCACCCCCGACCTTCGTGCGAGCCCTTTGACCCCACGTTTGCGCCCACCCGCTCAGTGTGCAACATGATCGGCTCCGTGGTCTTCGGCAGCAGCTTCGACTACAACCACGAGCGTCTGCTCACCATTATCCACCTCCTCCGTGACAACTCTCAAATCCTGACCAGCCCCAGGGGCGAGGTCAGGAGGTCCAATTATTTGGGGGTCAGGGAGGTGCGATGGGGCAGCAATTGGCCCAGCCTGGCTGGTCCCTTCTCATCTGACCCGGCCCCCCTAAGCCTGCAGGTACTAGGTCTGGCCCAGCCACACCCATGCCCACTCCACGGGGTCTCCACCTACACACACAGCCCCCGATCCCCAACCAGCCTCCCCAGAACTAGCCCCTCAAGACCCCGTCCCTGCCCCCTGACCACCCTGACCCTCACTAGCACACACCCTGCCTGCTCCTCCAGGACCCCTGAGTCCTCTCCATCCCCAGTGGTACATCTTTCCTAGCCTCCTGGGCTGGGTGCCCGGGTGCACCGAAGCCTTTTCCAGAACTTCGGGCGCATTAAGGGCCTCACTGCCCGCAGCGTCCGCGACCACCGGGTCTCTCCGGACACCAGCTCTCCCTGAGACTTCATTGACTGCTTCCTCATCAAGATAGAACAGGTAAGCCCTGCCTGGAAGTCCCACCTTTGGTCTGAACTGCTTCCCTTACCTGAATGAAACCAACAGGGATCCCGGTTGAGCGGGTTCGCGTGTGACCTCTTCACATTGGGAAGGGAAACGGAACACCGGGCTCTGCTGGGCCGGAGCCCGGAGCCATTCGGTGCAGCTGCCAGTTAAAAGCTCACTAAGAAGTGATTAAGGATCTGTTGATTGTGGACCCTGAAGCTGAGAGTTTTCCCTGCCCCGCCCACCCGCGCTCCCAGCTCCCCCGAGATAGAGAAGTTAAACAGAAAAGGGACTGAACTGACGCCCAGTAGCATTTGCATAGCTCTGGGGTGGGGAATGGGGTCCCCAGGCCCCAGCACACGGTCAGTGCGGGGGCAGGGTCTCCAGATTCTGGCTCATATCTCCATTACTTTACCCCCGCAGGAGACCAAGGATGCGCTGAGCCGCTGCCACATGGACACCCTTCTGACGACCACACGCAACCTTCTCTCTGGTGGGCACAAAGACCGTGAGCTCCACGCTGCCGCGCACTCCTCCCAGTGCAAAAGTACCCAAAGTGCAGGGTACGCGCGCCCTCTCTCGGCGGAAGACGCACCCACAGCGCCGAGCTGCCCACGCAGGGCGAGCCCAGCAGGCCTGAAAGTCCCAGCCTCCTGCTTACCCCTGGTCCCACAAACCTGCAAACCCACACGGAAGCTCACCCCACCCGAGCGGCCCCCACGGTCCACACGACCTGCCTCGCCCACTCCGCCACCCGGCCCCGTCCCCACGGGACGCCCAAAGCCAGGGCCCCTGAGTCTCAGCCACGGTGCCTGCCCGAACACTCACCCCTCCCACACAGTCTGGACCGGCCACACAGCACTGTCTGCGACCCCTTCTGCCCAAGCCCAGCCTCCGGTCAACCCTGGGTCCCTGGCCTCCAGGACTGTGTCCAACAGGGCTCTCCCCGCCCTCCACACACCGGATCTCTCAATTCCTGCACAGCATCTGCGCAAGACTCACACCAGCGAGCCTGGCCCTCGAAGCCCCGCCCTCAATCCCAGCAAGTTCTACACTCCAGCCCTGCACCCCGGAAACCGGACCGCACCAGTCCTTGAAGGAATCAGACTTTGCCCTTACCGACTTCCATTGCCCTCCCCCTATTTTCTCCCCACTGCCTTTGCTACTTATTCTCTGTACCTTCTCCGCCCTTCTCCTCCTCCCACTCCCCTGTTGCGAACCCTCCATGTGATCTTCATTTCTACGGTTCTGCTCCTGATCTAGCTGTCCTCTTAGTTTGCTTTTCTTTTAGGTGTAGTTGTTAATAACTGTGAGTCTGATGTCTTCTTACTATTCATATTGTTCATATTTTTATCTTCTTTTTCTTAGATAAGTCTCTTTAACATTTCATATAATAAGGGCTTGGTGATGATGAACTCCTTGAACTTGATCTTATCTGAGAAGCTCTTTATCTGGCCTTCCATTCTAAATGAAAGCTTTGCTGGATAGAGCAATCTTGGTTGTAGGTCCTTGGCTTTCATGACTTCCTCTTGCCCGCAGCCACTGGGAGGTCTTGGCTGGACCTCACAGGCACCCCTGCGATAGCCTGTTGTGCACCACTCACCTGGTTCTAAGAATTGTAACTCTAACCCCTGTGGCTAAGGATGAGTAGTGACCTCTGGAGTGCCAGCTGCAAGAGACAAAACTTGACTCTGGCAGCAGATGCTGCCCCTGCTTCATCTTCCTGCCCCCAAAGTATGGTCGATGTCCATGGTGGGTACCACACCTCAGAGAGGGGCAACCAAGGCCAGACACGATCGTCACTTGGGAGGCCATCATGGAAGGACCAGGGTGGAGGAGGGGCTGCAACAAAGAGCAATGGACTCTCCCCCCCCCCCCCCCCCGGCTTTGACATAGCCTGAGTCCCCATGTTCTCTGGGAGAAGTGCTTCCTGGCTCTAATCCTCTTAAGCCTGAACACCTGATGGGGAGGGTGCAGCTCCTTGCCTTGCTAGAGCATGTCCTGGGGGACAATCTGGCATCACAAAGACTTGCTGATAAACCTGTGAAATCTGCTCTGTTGAGTGCTTTCATTCATATGTTAAGGATTCAAGCAGGAAACCTTAAAACTGTGTTCCTGACAGACTCTGACTCAGACTAAGCCCTCAGATTTCTTTGAAATGTTATCTGCTGTTTGATCCTTGCTGCCCTGTATTCCTGTGTATTACAACCGAATAAAAGTCCTTGGAGGAAGGGGCGCAAGGCCTTTTTTCCCTGAGAAACTGGCCACCTCTCCTCCCCAAGCAGATCATGTCTCAGTCATGTTTACTCTCACCCATGGCACACGGGGGTACTTGTGAGGAAAGTCACCCCCACAGTAGCCCCTGGGTGGGGAGCGTTGACTGCTCCTCCACACCCACACACCTCTGCCCAGCCCGTTGGAGCCCACTGATGCCCTCGATTACACGCCCCCCTTCCTTGCCCACCTGAGTCCTGGAGTAGATTGACCTAGCGGTCAGACTCTAGCGGCTGCCAGAAGGCTCTGGAAGGCTGCATGGCCACGCCTTACACAGATGCCATGATCCCCATGGTGCAGCGCTTTGCAGACATCATCCTGCACAAACTTGCTGCACCACATCATTCAGGACACGACCTTTCTGAGGCTTCCTGCTACCTGAAGTTCGCTGGGTACTCGACAAACGGCAAACGACATTTCACACCATAAAAAGAGGCATCCCAGGCTCTTGCAACTGGCATCTGAGGCTCTTGCAAGAAGGATCCCAAACCCTAGCAATCCACACCCCAGACCTTAGCAACTGCCATCCTCACCAAGCCCTAGCAACAGACCTGTGAGGCCTTATATCCAGAACTTCAGCCCCTGCCCAGGACCCCGGCCGCACTACAGTGGGTCGGACCCTGTCCTAAACCCCAGACCTCTTCCCCCTAACAGGTTCCCTTCCCAGAACCCCTCTCCAGAATCCCCAAGGTCTGAGACTTCATCCTGGGTACCCTCTGTGCCTAAACACTGTTCCCAGACACTCGATTCCTCCCCAGGAAACCTAAATCTGTTCCCTCAAGGGGGGTAGGATATCCCATGTCCCTGCCTCGGACCCTGACCACACAGCTTTCAGCATCCATCACTGGAAACACCGTCGCTGGGGACCCCAGACACCCAGACACATTTCCCAGACCCTGATGGAGTCCTACACTGTGTGTGTGTGCGTGTTCACACACACACACACACCATCAAGTTCTCAGCCCTGTAAAGAGGGAATCCTAGTTAGGGAACATCCCAGCCCTCTCTGTACCACTAATTCTGCCTCCTACCCACACAGGGCACCGAAGCCATCGCCCTCCTCCACACAGTCCACTACAACCCCAGCCAGTTCCTGACACCCCAGGAATTCAACCCTGAGCATTTTCTGGATGCCAATCAGAATTTCTAGAAAAGCCCTGTCTGCATGCCCTTCTCAGCCGGTGAGGGTGGCGGGGACACAAGTCAGTCATTCAGACCCCTGATTCCCACCTACACTGCCCAGTCCTCTAAACCCTCTCACTTTATCCCACCCATCCTCAGCTTTGGATGAAACATCCCTTCCCCCTCCCAACTCTGCTACAGGCAAATAATGACTGAAATCCTTGTGGAGGGAGGTGGAGAGGCAGAAGAGTAATTTCACTTGAAAGCGGTCACTGTCAGTTTGTCCACTAGGTGGCGCAGGTGAGGCGGCTCTAGTTTTTCTTGGCTTCCAACTTCACTCTGCTGAAGAAAAATCTTTCCTATGTAAGTCAGCATTAGAGAGAGAAAATGTTGGGGGAGATAATAATAGGTAACTTAGCCTATTGCATGCCGTATGCCAGGCACTGCCTCTGAGAAGGACTTAAGAGTAGTAGCTAAGTACTGGGCTTTGCAGGCAGACTCCAGCTCCATCATCTCCAAGGTGTATGGCCTTGGATATGTTATTTCACCTCTGTGCCTCAATTTCCATATCTATAAAATGGAGATTACAATTGGCCCAATCTGTCAGGATTATTATGAGCGTTAAATTAATTAATAGCTGTATAATGCTTAGAGTAGTGCATGGCGCTACTATATAATGATTATATAATGCCTATATAATGCCTATATAAGCTATATGTTAAAGCCTATATAAGTATTATATTCTCGCCGCTTTATCTGCATTTACCATTCACAACAACCTATTGAGGCACTACTACACCCATTTTAAATACCCAGAAACTGTGGCGTGCCCAAGATCACAAAAATAGGGCAGAGCCGGGATTTGAATCCATAAAGTGACATTTGTACAAAATCGGGCCATTCTGGTTCAGGATTTACTGAAAGCATCTTTCCCAGACCTTTGTTCTCGTATGTTTTCCTCTGGGAATTTGGGGCTGCAGCCCCTCACCTCCTCTTATGTCATCACTCCTCACCTCCAAAGAATGTTGGCTCTGCCTGAGCGAGTCCTTGGGGCGCATGGAGTCCTTCCTCTACCTCATTACCATCCTGAGGAACTTCTCGCTGCAGCCACTGGGGGCGCCAGAGAACGTCGACCTGACCCTGCTCAGCTCAGGACCCAGCATTTTGCCACGGCCCTTCCAGCTGTGCCTGAGCTCGATGAGACCTGAGCCCTTCCAGATTCGCATGTGGGCGATGAGACCCGCCCGTAGAGGTTGTTCTGCCCCTCTTCTCAGTCCACTGTGCCCCCACCCCTCTCACTGTCACACTTGCTTTCCCTCACTCTGTGCCTGCCACATGTCCATCCCTCATCCTCCCATCTTTACCTGGTCTCCGCACCCAGAGGCAAAGACTTGGGGGAAGGGGAGGTGAATGCCTTGTTTTACCCACAGAACTCGCTGTATTACACACCCTTTTGGGGGCTCTTGTGTAATTTCCTAGTAAATGACCCTGCAATGGTGGAATAAAGGGAGGAGGACAGGTCCCTAGGATAGAAAGAAGGGAGAACTGGGCAGCAGAGAAAGAAGGCACCCAGCTGTGACTAGTTTCACCCTTACCCTTGGGGCAGAAACTGGTAGAAATTGTTACATGGACATAGGCTGGAATATAGAGGCCTTGACGGCCCAAAGACAGAGAGGCAGAGAAATAAACAGCACCCAGAGAGACCCTGAACAGCTCTACGGGAGGTGCAGGGCGCTGTACCGAGGTGGAATGTAAGCAGGGAGAAAGGGAGAGATGGGGAGATATAACACAGAGACTGAGAAATAAGGGGTACTAACACATTAGTGCCTCCCATTCACACAGTTCTAAATTCCTCATTTGCATTTCCCTATGAGGCAAAGCAATGTCATTATAGTTTTTTACAGTTGAGCAAACTGAGGCTCAGAGAGGCAAGGCGACTTGCCCAAAATAAGACAGCCAGAGACAGGCAGGGCTGGGAATGGAACGCAGACCATCTGACTCCAACACTGCGCCTCCCAGTCTCACAAACTGGAAACACGGAGGAAAGCACCCAGATACACAGACTAAGAAGTGGGGGTGGGGGGTGGGCAAGAGGATAGAAGACAGAGACAAGGAAAGAAACAAATGACCAGAAAAAGAGAGAGAGAAGGGCAATGAATGTGAAAGTGAGGCAGCAGAAGACAAACTGTCCCCCATTTCTCACCCTATTCCTTGGATTATTCCTTTGGCAATTCCTTCCTTTGGGGTTGGGTAGCAGGCCCAGTCCTGGGGCCTCCCAACCTTGGACTGCACTTAGCACCCTAACACTCTGCTGACAGTAGCTTTTTAAAAATATTTTTATTAATTATGATATTATAGTTGTCTCGTACCCTGCACACTCCCTCCCACCCACATTCCCCCCCTTTAGTTCGTGTCCATGTGTCATAAGTTCTTTAGCTTATATACTTCCTACACTATGCTTGCCCTCCCCCTATTTTCTCCCCACTGTCTTTGCTACTTATTCTCTGTACCTTCTCCACCCTTCTCCTCCTCCCACTCCCCTGTTGCTAGCCCTCCATGTGATCTCCATTTCTATGGTTCCACTCCTGATCTAGCTGTCCTCTTAGTTTGCTTTTGTTTTAGCTGTGGTTGTTAATAACTGTGAGTTTGTCATCTTTTTATTATTCATATTGTTCATATTTTTATCTTCTTTTTCTTAGATAAGTCTCTTTAACATTTCATAAAATAAGGGTTTGGTGATGAACTCCTTGAACTTGACCTTATCTGAGAAGCTCTTTATCTGGCCTTCCATTCTAAATGAAAGCTTTGCTGGATAGAACAATCTTGGATGTTGGTCCTTGGCTTTCATGACTTGGAATACTTCTATCCAGCCCCTTCTTGCCTATAAGGTCTCTTTTGAGAAATCAGCTGACAGTCTGATGGGAACTCTTTTGTAAGTGACTGTCCCCTTATCTCTTGCTGCTTCTAGAATTCTCTCCATTTTATTTTCTAAATATATTTTATTAATTATGCCATTACAGTTGTTCTATTTCCCCCCTTCATTCCCCTCCACCCTGCAAACCCCCTCCCCCACCATTCCCCCCCTTTAGTTTATGACCACATGTCTCAAGTTCTTTAGATTCTATATTTCCCATACTATTCTTGCCCTCCCCTATCTATTTTTTACCTACAATCTATACTAATTCTTTTCTGTACCTTCTCCCCCCTTCTCCTTCTCCCACTCGCCTGTTGCTAACCCTCCATGTGATCTTCATTTCTATGGTTCTGCTCCTGATCTAGCTGTCCTCTTAGTTTACTTTTGTTTTAGGTGTGGTTCTTAATAACTGTGAGTTTGCTGTCCTTTCACTGTTGATATTTTTTATCTTCTTTTTCTTAGGTAAGTCCCTTCAACATTTCATATAATAAGGGCTTGGTGATGATGAACTCCTTGGACTTGATCTTATCTGAGAAGCACTTTATCTGCCCTTCCATTCTAAATGAAAGCTTTGCTGGGTAAGCAATCTTGGTTGTAGGTCTTTGGATTTCACGACTTGGAATACCTCTTTCCAGCCCCTTCTTGCCTGTAAGGTCTCTTTTGAGAAATCCACTGACAGTCTGATGGGAACTCCTTTGTAGGTGACTGTCCCCTTATCTCTTGCTGCTTCTAGGATTCTCTCCTTCATTTGAATCTTGGCTAATATAATTATGATGTGCCTTGGTGTGTTCCTTCTTTGATCCGACTTCTTGATCTGAGCTTCCTGGATTTCCTGGAAGTCTATATCCTTTGCCAGTTTGGGGAAGTTCTGGTTCATTATTTGTTCAAATAAGGTTTCCACTGGTGGCTGTTTCTCTTCCCCTTCTGGTACCCCTATAATTCGGATGTTGGAACGTTTAAAGATGTCCTGGAGGTTCCTAAGCCTCTCCACATTATTTTGAATTCTTGTTTCTTCATCCTTTTCTGTTTGGTCATTTTTTTCCTCCTTCTGGTCCACTCCTTTGATTTGAGTCTCACTTTCCTTTCCATTACTATTGGTTTCCTGTGCACTTCCATTCATTTCAATTAGTTTAGCCTTCATATGTTCCTCTAATTTGTGACTAAAATCAACCAGTTCTGTGAGCATCCTGATCACCAGTGTTTTGAACTGTGCATCTGAAAGTTTGGCTATTTCTTCATTCTTAGATTTATCAGTTCTGGGACTCTGAGTTGTTCTTGAGCCATGTTTTGATCTGTTCCTGCCTGTTACATATGAGGAGGGGAACCTTAGTTGTTCACCAGGGCGGGGCCACCCAGGTTGCTGGTTTGTAACGCTGTATGTGGGGGTGGGTCAGAGAGGAACAACGGTGGTTCCCTCTGCTGCTTTCTGCCACTGGGTCCTGTGCGGTCTGTCTCACTGCTAGCTCCTTCACCGGTTTATCTGTGCGAGAATGTATGACTGCAGTCCACCCTCAGTGGGTCCAACACCTTGCGCCCTCAGTGGGTTCGCCCACTTCTCCACACCTGGGATCCACCCACAGCTGCTGGCGCACCTGGGTCGAGCGCCCGGGTCTGTCTGGTGGATCTTTCCTGCCCAACCCCACTCTGGTGCTGGCTCTGCCCCTGGCTCTGCCCCTCTTACCAGTTTGGCTGAAGGGTTTGTTGTTGTCAGACTTCCATGTAGTTCAATTTTCTGTGGTTTGGCTGCATTTTTGTTGCTAAAACTTTGTTGTTTTTTAAACTTAGTTGTGTGAGAAGGTGCAGTGCTTCCACCTATGCCTCCATCTTGGCGGAAGTCCCTCTCTCCTTCATTTTAATCTTGGCTAATATAATTATGATGTGCCTTGGTGTGTTCCTCTTTGAGTCCAACTTCTTTGGGACTCTCTGAGCTTCCTGGACTTCCTGGAAGTCTATTTCCTTCTCCAGACTGGGGAAGTTCTCCTTTATTATTTGTTAAAAAAAAGTTTTCCACTTGTTGCTCTTCCTCTTCCCCTTCTGGTACCCCTATAATTCGGATTTTGGGACATTTAAAAATGTCCTGGAGGTTCCTAAGCCTCTCCTCGTTTTTTTAAATTGTTGATTCTTCATTCTTTTCCGTTTGGTTGTTTCTTTCTTCCTTCTGGTACACTCCATTGATTTGAGTCTCAGTTTTCTTTCCATCAGTATTGGTTTCCTGTGCATTTTCCTTCATTTCACTTAGGATAGCCTTCATTTTTTCATCTAATTTGCGACCAAAATCAACCATTCTGTGAGCATCCTGATCACCAGTGCTTTGATCACCTGTGCATCTGCTAGGTTGGCTATCTCTTGGTTGCTTAAAGTATTGGCTCTGGGGCTTTGACTTGTTCTTCTGTTTGAGCCTCTTTTATTTATTTATTTATTTATTTATTTATTTATTTAGGTCTGGTTGCACCTGTTACATATGAGCGGTGGAGCCTTAGGTTTTTTCCTGGTCTGGAGCGACCCAGTCACTGGGTTGGGACGCTGTATGTGGGGGTGGGGTCAGAGAGAAAACAGTGGCACTTGCTCCACTCTCTCTTGTATTTCAGTTTCTTCTGCTGCTTCCCACAAGCAAACTGGACCCTTCTGGTGCTGGTTCCTGGGTGGGTGAGCTTGTGTACGTTCTAGGACCCTGTGGGTCTCTCCAAGAAACTGCCCTGTGAGGCTGGAAGGTCTCCCTGCACCTCAGCCCCCACAGGTGTTTTCAATCAATGTTTTTAGGCTTTATTTCCCAGCACTGGGGCCCTGTGCAGACTACATATATGCCTCACCTAGCTGGCCCAATGTTCAGCAGAGCATGTCCCCGCTTCTGGACAGCTTTGGGGGGACCCTGTTCAGGGTAGGGCCTCTCAGGCCACCTTTGCTCATGGCTGGGGACCCAGCCCCACTCTTCCTGACTCTGGCTCAGTAAAGCCTATGGAGAAAAGCTACTGTTGGACTTCCGACCAAGATGGAGGCATAGGTGGACACACTGTGCCTCCTCACACAACCTAAATTAAGGAAGGACAACAAAAATTTAGAAACAAATAAACAACAGTCAGAAAACTGAACTGTACAAAAGTCTGAAAACCATTCATCCAGACCGGTAAGAGGGGTGCAGTCAGTGGTCCACGGCAGGAAAAAGTGGCGTTGACAGACCCGGGTGTGCAGGCGGTGGCAGCTAGTAGACTCCGAATGCGGGGAGACAATGAGCAGATCCAGTGAAGCACCAGGCAGCTGGCTGACTGCAGTCACACATTCACGCTCAGATAAACCAGGCGAAAATGGAAACCAAGCAAGACAGACCGCGCTCCCCAGGGCCCCAGGGCCCCAGGGCCCCAGTGGGGGCCATGTGAGAGGCAACCACAGATGGATGTTTCTCTCCCTCTCTTTCTCCCTCCCCTCTCTCTAAAAACAAATAAATAAAATCTTTTTTAAAAAAGACAGACACTGAGAGCAATAGAGACAGAGACAGAAATCGGGATGACAAAATCCTGAGTTCATTCAATATTCACTCAACACACATGTACTGAGTGTCCACTGTGTGCTGAGCACTATTTTAGGTGCAGAGGATGCAGATGTGAACAAGACAAATGCCTGCTCTTGAAGACACCCTAATAAATGAAAAGGATTCACTAGAGAGCTTGACAGTGGGATGGGGTGAGGTCAGGGAAGTGCACGCTTGCTGTGCCCTGCTGCACCCCCACTGTCTGTGGAGTCAACACCCTGCCTGTCCCACAACCCCTCCCAGTCACCAGGTCCCTAGACAGAGGAAGGCTGACAGGTAGGAAGACCTATAACAGAGACCAAGACAGAGGCAGGGAGACAGGGAAGCACCAACTGGAAGAGTAAGGTAAAGACAAATCACGAGAGTCGCAGAGAGATAAAAACATATTAAAAAGGAGAGTGCAAGAGATAGAAAACAGACATGAACAGAGGCAGACACTGAGAATGAAACCAAGATGGAGAGAGAAAGAGAGAGATAAACAGAAACAGAAATACCGAGAATGAAAGGGAAGAAGACATTGAGGGATGAAACACGAATCAATGAAGAGACACTGAGAAGCACTCCTAGAGACGAGCCCAGTCCCAGACTCTGCACGGCCCCCTACCCTCTTCTCAGGTCTGGGCCATATGCCAGGCAGCGGCAGGAAGGCTGGATCTGGCAAGGCAGGGGCTGGAAGGTGGTTGGGCCGCATTCCTGAACTGTCTATTCCAAGTACTGGCTCATCCACTCCTACCACTGGGCCATCCAGGCCTGGGTTTGCCCCTCCAGGTCACCCCACCCACCCACCCAGGGTAAGTGGGAATGATGCATATGTTTGCCTGCCGTCACGGCCTGGCCTTAGAGTGGACATGCTCACTGAGGGGCTTAGGGGACTGGCAACCAGGGAGTGCAACAGCAGGGGCATAGGCCATTTGGGAGCATTGGGAATAGAGATGGCAGGAGTTCAGAGCAGGGCATAACTATGGGGGCCCAAGGGCCCATCATGTGGAAAGGCACCCGGGAGTCATAAGAATAGGTACAGAAGTATCAGGCTGATAGACAGCAGGAGGCCAGGACACTCAGTGAGCATCTGGGAGACAGGTCCAGCATGCAGGGCTCTAAGAGCAGTGGGCATGGAAGTGACAAGGACTCGGGTGTGAGTCCCTAGGAATCACAGTCACAGGCCATAGGAGGGCCAGGCTAACGGCACATCACCAGGAGTGGTTTTTCTGTGTTGAGGACCGAGGGGTGTATTTAGCAACTGAAGTACAGTCATGCACCAATTAACAATGAGACACGTTCTCATTGAGAAACTCTCAGATGAGACACTCGGTGATTGTGTTGTTGTGAGGGCATCCCAGAGTGCCCTTACCCTGACCTAGATGGCACAGCCTGCTACAAACCTCGGCTGCATGGGACAGCCAGTCACTCCTAGGCTAAAAGCCTGTACAGGAAGTTACTGTGAAAAACAACATGAGCTTAAGTCAAGCACAAGAGAAAGTGACGTGATCAAGAAACATGGTAAACCCGAAGACACCTGCAGCTGCTGCTGGTGTGGCGAGGCATACTGTTCCACAGTGGGTGTTGCTTCTAATGCAAGTAGAGAGCAAGCACTCTAAAATAATGATTTTTAAAAGTGTAGTAAATACAGAAATCAGTAACATGGTCCTTTATCACCATCATCAAGCATTATGTGCTCGCATGTGTTAGGCTTTCAGACAACTGGCAGCACAGTGAGTTCGTTTACATCAACATCAGCATACACGGGAGCATTGGGTTTGTGCTACGGCCTTACCACAGGCAACAGGAATTTTCCAGCTCTCTTAAAATCTTGTGGGACCACGGTCTGTCATTGAGCTAACTGTCCTTATTGCGTACATGACTGTTCAGGGTACAGTTTCAGGGGTCATGGTCCAGAGAAATTTAAAAATGCACTTCTATTTGGGCCAAATGAGATAGACCCAAAGGTGCTAGGGGCTCAGGAAGGTGCAGCTGTTGGTTGGCCAAGTGTAACGACACAGAAATGCTGGTGCGTGCAAATTGCCAAACAGGGCAGGCTGAGGCTGGTACAAAAAGTCTAGGCGTTGCCAGGCAGAGCAGTGCTAGGGCTGAGGGGGCGGGGTGACCTTGGGTTGGAAAATCTGGGGAATAAGAGGCCACAGACGTCCATCCTCCTACTCTGGGTCTCCCCACCAAGACTCCAAGGGAATCAGAGGCGAAGGAGTGCAGGCATCAGAAATCGAGGGCATGATGGCCACAAGCATCGCAGCACTGCTGTTTCTACTCCTGCTGCTGGCGCTGGGCGGGCGAGGTTGAAGTGCAGGCACTCGGACACAGAGCAGTATCTCCACCCCCCCCCCCAACCCCCACCCCCCTGCTGGGGAACTTGTGCGGCGGGAGCGGGCAACATGCACTCGTGGAGTTAGCCTAGACAGTGGGTGGGGTACAGATTCTGGATTCGTGGAGGTGAGCCTGGGGGCTGGAACTCCTGGTTCTCTGAATGAAGAGAACTGAGAGCTCGGAGTCCTGAGGAAGGTTGAGCGGCCTGAAGTTTTGCGTTCTGGGGAAGGATTCTGGGTGGGCTGGGAGTCTGGGCGCCTGGACTTCTGGTTGTTTGGGAAGAGGAGGTGGTAGAGTGAAGAGGGGGGCTGTGGGGGAGGCAGATCTCCAGAGAAGAGGCACAGTGTAGGCCTGAGCTCCCGGTTAAAGGGAGAGTCGCACTGCACTGTCTCCAACCTCCATTTCTGGGTCCTGAGGGAGGAGGAGCCTAGCGGGGGCAGTGCAGTGAGGGAGAGGGGAGCACAAGGGTCTGTTCTCCTGGTTCAAGGCTGGGAGCGGGGATACTGACGGTCCAGATGCCTAGTTTTGTGGGTGCAGGAGACTGGGGATAGATTTCTAGATCCTGACATTAAAAGAAAACGTGAGCCTGGACTCCTAAGCCTGAGGCAGGAAGGTCGAGATATGAACTCCTGAGCCTGGAATAAGGGGCTGAGACGGGAACTCTTGGGTTTGAAGGGAGAACGAACGAGTTGTGAGCGGGGCTCTGGGGTCTCGATGGAGGAGGGTGTCGGGATCTCCGACCAGGAATCCAATGAGCACCCGCTGCACTTGGTGCTCTGGCCGCTGGGCTCCGGTGTTCACAGGCAGCTGGGCCCGCGCCCCGCAGTGGTGCTGTGCGGCTATGCAGCGCTGTGGGGTGCATTGGTGCTGCACGCGGACACCTTCTACAGGCGCTAGGAAACGGCCGCCTTTTGAACGCTTCACGCGCGGAAGCGATGAGTCCCGGGAGGTGGACGAGCAGACCTGGGCATTCACTCCGGTGCCAAAGGACTGGGGCCGGGAAATAGGGGCGGGACCTCATGGAGACTGCGCTGAAGAGCGCAAGTGGCGTGGGGAAGGCGGGGCGGAGCTAAAGTGTGGGGAAGGGGGGGTGGTTCCTTGCGCAGAAATGGGAGAGCCAGAGAGAGCAGGCGCTGGTCAGGGATCGGGACTAGCAGAGGAGGGGGCCAATGTGTGCAGAGGGCCGGGAAGGCTGGGATGGCAACGAAGGCTGGAAAAGAAGTTGAGCGAAGGAGTTGCAAGGGAGTCTGGTCGGTGGCTGGACGCTTGCCTGAAGGGGCATGGCCAGCTCCTGGCCTACCCCTTCTCTGCTTCATCCCCTGGTGCCTTGTTTTCCAATGGGCTGGGCTGGCGGAAGCTGAGCAGTTTTGCACTTGGAACGCTTACGGAGTTCGGGCTGGGTGTGCGTAAGCTGGAGGTGGCTTTTCTGGCGAACTTCAACCCACCATTGGTGGGGCTTGTTCGCAAAGAAGAGGGACATGCTGTGGGTGTGGCGAACGGACCGCAGGGGCTGCAGGAAGGCATTTCAGTGGAGTGAAATGAGTAAGTCCAGGAGCTAGCTGGAGGCAGAGCCAGAGCATTACGACCTGGTCATGCGACCCCCGGCGGCTACTATTAATAAGTAACGCTGCATCTAATGGTATCTGCTCCATGGTCTTCGGGAACCGCTATGACTACAAGGACCCTGAGTTCCTGAGGCTCCTGGACCTCTTCAATGACAACTTCTGCTTGAGTTCCAGATGGGGAGAGTTGAGAGGACTAGCCCCAATCCGTCCTGCTGAGCTCAAAACTGTGCCAAATATAGAGTACATAGACCTACCTAGAGTGGATCATTAGGATAGGATTTAGAATGTTGGAATGGGAGAGTTCTAGGACTTACAGCATCAAGGTCCTACTGAGATCCTGTTCCCCCCATGTACATTCCACCACCGCCCCCCCCCCCGCCAGTGTGTGAATGGCTCTCAGTTTGTTGGCTCCAGCCAAGGTGCAGAGGGAAGCTGGACACCACGGTGGGCCAGGCATGCGTCCCAGGCCTGAAGGACCACCAGCGTCTGCCCTACCCCAATGCGGTGCTGCAGGAGACCCAGCGCTTCATCAGAGTGCTGCTCCTGGGACTGTCACATACCTCCACCCGCGCGACCACTTTCAGCCCAAAGTATCCACCAAGTCTGGGGACTGTGTGCAAGGTCAGGGAGCACCTAGCTCCCCAGGCATCAGCGTGTGTGTGCAAGAAATAAGACTCCACCTTACCAGTGACTTCTATATGGTGTCTTGGATGAAAGGCAACCTTGCCATGATCCTAACACTTGCACACCCCCCAGAGTACCTTCCTGATTTTTCTGCTTGTGCGTGTGCACAGGGACCCTATTTGAGCATCCATACTGCTTCAACACGCCCTGCCAACTTCCTGAAGGGCGAGTTCCCAGGGTACATGGGGTTCTGCCCCTGAATCTGTGTCCCCAGAAAAGTGGATGTGCTTGGGTACAGGCCTGGCCTGACTGGAGATCTTCCTCTTTGCCACTATCCTGCAGTGTCTTTCCCACTTCTTGTGGGGACCCCCGCCAACACAGACCTCACCCCGCAGTGTACCAGCCTGGGCAATGTCCCCTTAGCTTTCCAGCTCTGCCTGGTGGCCTGCTGAGGTCAGGCTCGGCTACCCCCTGCTCACTGATCTCAGCCCTCCCTACATACCTCAATAAACACCCTGAACTGTCGATGGAGGCATGTCCTTGCCAAGCAGAGGGGGAGGGGGAGTCATGTGTGCAGCTCTGAGGTAAACTTATTTATTTCTTGGCTGACAGGACTGTCACAGCCATGCTCCTCCCAGCACCTATTATCCTGCCCAAGCAGGGGCAGCCTAGTCATAAGGGTGCCATGGCCAAAGGGGTTGGGAGTCACTTCACATTCCAGGCTGGAGGAGTAGGGGGCGTGGGGATACGAACCCCCCCAAACCTTTGCCAGCAAGAGGCCATGACTCACCTCAACCCCAAATCCTGCATGCTGGTGGGAGGTGGCAACGCCCCCTTCCAGCTCTCCACACCCGAGAGGAGCATGGCCAGACAGGGCAGGACACAGACCCCCGGCTCCAGTAACAGTAGCCCCTGCCCCCAGAACAGGGCAGCACAGGTCTCTCCTCCTCAGCCCTCAGCAACCGAGGAAACCCTCCACACCAGGCAGGACAGAGGCAAAGTCGGAAGCAGCAGCGGTGGCAGGGAAGGAGCAGACACCGAGACTGGCGGGCTACTGGCTGGGCGGCACCGGCCCAGGGCTCTCCCGAAGTCAGGGCAAGCTTTCTGTCCATGCAGCTCTGCGATGGCCACTAGGTGGGTGTAGCTGGCTGAGATACAGGTACTTGAACACCTTTCTGTCCTGATGCTGGTGGGAGGGACAGGAGATAATGAGTCATCCAGGAAGGGACAAAGAGGCCACAGAAAAGCTGGGGTACTAGGAGAGTGGCTGTCTAGGGAAGGTGGTCAGAGGTGAGAAAAAAGGTGGCAGAATTTAGTCAAAGACTGACAAGGTGGATGAGGTGGCTCAAGGCCTGGTGAGGTCATGGAAAAGGAAGGACTCGAGGGAGGGGACACCGTTTGGGAAGCAGGTACCTAGCTGATACTTGTCTTTGGCTGCTGCTCGCTCCTTGGCATCAAAATACCAGACCGTGATGGCGTACCTGGGGACCAGAGCAGTGCCGGGGGGCAGTGAGAGACCACGTTTCTTCAATTCCAGCCACTACACCCACAGTAACATCAGAGTCCACCCTCCGAGCCTGACTCTGTTCCCACCTAGGCCCCCTCTCAGTACTTGATCCCGTCGTAGTCATTCGGGGGTAGCACCTGGGCATATCCCAGAAGTATGGGTCATACCTGGTAGCATAGGCTGGTTTCACCTCATGAGGGTTCCGCCGGTCAGACCAGAAAATGAGCAGCCGGTCAAAGAGTGGCTCAATGTTGGCTACCACAGGCCGGCCCTCAGGGAAGATCTGCAGCAGGCCACCGTGCACCTGAGGGCAGACCAGAGGATGAGGCAGGAGGCTGGCACTGCCTGCCCCCCAGGAGCCCACCAAAGAAAGGCATAGCAGCAACACAGATCACTCTCCCACCACTCAGCCTCTTAAAAATGAATGGCAGCCCAGAGTTTGCATCCCCATGGAGATGGGCAGGAAGCTACTAAGACAGGAAATGGAAGGGAGGGTTCATCGGGCCTGGGGGTGGGCAGACTGCGCCATTGCCAGTGAAGAACCGGAGGACAGACTGCCCCACCCCACTGTGGACTGAGAAGAACCAGAGAAGGCTAGAAGCTGAGCTGGCAGTGGAAAAGGAAGTGGATGCACAACACCCCACCTCCATCCTCACCCCCACACCCTACCTTGATGTCCCAGTTCTGATTCAGGTAATAGATACATGTGATGCAGCGCCCATCACCGTGGGGATTGTCGACGTGCCTCACGTACCCCAGCCCGTTGCCTGGGTAACACGCCACCATGGCCTGGCAGAGACAGATGGAAGTGGTTTACTGGAGCTAGGTAGGGGCACTTGGGGAAGCAGCCATTACCTCCTCTTCCTTACACTCCCTGCCCCTCATTTCTGACTCCTCAAGTGTCCTGGGCTCCAAGGGCTCCAGCCCCCAAACGTTCACCCTTTTTGGCCAAGCCTCCATCCACTGGAAACCTCAACTCCAGGGCCTCAACAGCCCCTCCCTCCCCACCCCCCACCCCCACAGATGCTGGCCCTCAGGGAAGGGTCCCAGTGAGGAACTGTGGGTTTCATTTTTTAAAGATAACTGACCCCACCTCAGACATTTCAGCAGAATAAAGCCACTGTAAAGGCTGCCTGACGTGCAGAGGTGTGGCCTCACAGTCCTATGTCGGGGTTCCTCCCCTTGGCTGCAGAGTGAGACCACCTGGTCCGCTGACACTTGGGCTCACCTTAGAGGTTCTCATGTACTTGGTCTAAGATGGAACCTGGATTTTTTTTAATCATCACCCGAGGATAGGTTTATTGACTTTGGAGAGAGAGGAAGGGAGAAAGGAACATCAATGTGAGAAGCAGCAGGTGATTGCCTCCTGTACGTGGCCAGACTGAGGATCGAACCGTCTACGTAGGTATGCACCCTGACCGGAGATCAAGCCTTTCGCTGTACAGGACGATGCTCCAACCAACTAAGCCACCCAGCCAGGGCGGGAGCCTGGAGTTTATTTATATTTTTATTCTTCACCCGAGGACATGCTTACTGATTTTAGGGAGAGGGGAACAATGCGCCCCTACCAGAGACCAAATCCGCAACCTAGGCATGTGCTCTGACCAGGAACTGAACCCACTAGCCAGGAATTCCAGGAGCCTGGAATTTTTAAAGGTCCCCAAGGTTTGAAAGGTCCCCAAGGTTTTTAAAGGTAATTCTAATGCACAGCAATGTTGAGAACTGCTGCCCCTTACTACAAAGAGTCCCTGCTAAGTAAATTATGCCTCCTGCACATGTGAACAAGTTCCAAAACCTACAGTGTAACTAGAACCTGAGATCTAATCTCGACTTCAAGGACAGCTTGCTGGGTAGCCCTCAACAGTCCCTACCTATCACCTGAAGAGTCCTCAACTATCTAGTCTGTAAAATGGGGCCAATAATATCTGCTCTGTTTACAGCAGGGGCATTATCCCCTCTGAGAACCTAACTTTGGATGTGTTGCTCCTGTCAACACAGATCTAATAGGACTCATTCGAGGTCTTGGCTTCTGTGTGCACAGGTCTAGCCCCAAGGTTCTCGCCTCCTCTCCCCGATGGCTGCCATTGCCCTGGCCAGCCCCGCCCATACTGATGCCTGGGCCCAGCCACTCAGGGGCCTGTCTTCTCATCAAGAACCTGACAAAAAGGTAGATGCGGTGTGAGGAAAAGGGCCCGGGTGTCCCTACAGACCTAACACCCCGATTCACTTCAGAGTAGACACACAAGCTGTAACGTTGGGGGAAGGAGGGAAAATGACTTAACTTCCTGTCTCAGGTTCCTCACCCATGACATGGAGCTGACAACTACTTCTCAGGTTGTTGTGGGAACTAAACAAGACATAAATGGCAAAGCACCCAGCATGGTGCCCGCCACTTGAAAGAAACCCAAATCACAGGCTGAAATGGAGTCCCAGTCCTACCCTCTGCCCAAAGCCACTGGATGAGGCAGATAAGGAAACACTGCCGTGAGGACCCTCGAGCTCCTGTCCAGTTGGAGACCATCTGTCCTGACACCTAGAATCAGACGGAGGCCAGGCCACTGCTCCCCACTAACACTCAGCTACACCTGCGGGGCACAGTCCGGCTGGATAACCGCAAGATAAACATTACTGATCAGAAAGATCAGTGTCTCCCGCCCAAACAGCTTGCTAAGCACCCCAAAGCAGGCCGGGTGGACTCAAGCCCGACACGTCATTCCCATTCTCCCTGCAGGATGGATGTAAACCACTCTGCCCTACACATGTGCACCTGATCCACCACGGCACCTGCCCTAGGACAGAGGCCAGGAGAGCTGCCCCAGGGGGAGGCCACCCAGGAGTGAAGAGCACTCCTCTCCCTGGTGGCACCAGGGCACAGGGAGTGAGCAGCCCCCACACCACCAGGCTTGGAAGGAGCTCCTTCACTGCACTGTTCATTCCCTGCACGTGGGTCAGCGCTTTGAGCAAGCACCTCACCAGGAAGAAAGAACGCGCTGTGGCCCAAGTGGCCTGGAATCAGTGAGTCACTGATTAGGGATGGGCAAGGCCTCCCAGTTAGAGTGCAAGCAGAGACCTTGCTGGTTTGGCATGAGGAGGGTGGGGAGAGGACCCCGTGCTGTGACCTTGCCTCCTGCGGTCCAACAACCCACCCCTACACACAGCAATCAGAGGCCTTTTCTTCAGCTCTTCATTGCTCAAATCCCTTCCAGCACCCAATGCATCCCAGAAACACACAAAATACAAAGTCCTGACCACAGTCTCCATGGTCACCAACCTCCTCTCCTAGCCCCATCACTCTGCTCCAGCCTCTGGGGCCTCATGACCGTTCTCTGACTAGGCCAAGCTCATTTCCAAGGCCTTTGCACAGGACTGGAACATTCTTCCCCGTCCTTTGTTATTCCTGACTCAGATCAAGGGGCACCTTGAGTACTCTAGCTGAAGGTACCCGGGCTGCTTTTCCACCCTACCCCTCAGTGTGAAATCAACACAGGTGCTTGTTTACCTAGCACTGGCCCAACGAGTAGTCCCATGGAAGCCCCTGGGGCCAGGCCTATCTCCCTAGTGCCCAGGAGGTAGCTGCTGACTAAAAGCACTCCTCTGGGCCTCCACTGCATTCTGCCCTGGGCTCCGTTATGCAGGGTCACCCACCATGCAGCAGGGGTACCCTCTGGAGTCTGGCATGGAAGAGGACTTGTACACAAAGGCTGGGCACAGAAGCCGCCTCTTTAAGGCCACACCCTGCCCCCACATACACACACCATAGGGAGTGGAGGGTGGAAGCGTACTCTGGCCCCAGAGAAGCATCTACTTCCTCCCCCACAAGGGAAAGGCACAACAAGCAAAGGGATATGGAAACATGGAAACTTGTTCCTCACCCTTCCACCTCAGGGAAGGGACAGCTGGGATCAGAGCCAGCAAACTGAAGAGTTAAAGGCTATTGGTGACAGTGTGCCCAAAGCCACACACACACATACACACACACACCCCGCTGAAACTAGAGACTGAGCCAATGACAGCAGGCCCCATCCCCAGGGTGCTCTTAAAGGGGCAAACCAAGCCCGCCAGGGCCTCTCAGAGGTCCCTAATGTGAATGAAGGTCAACCCTTTCCCACCTACAGGCCAACTGAGCAGAAGAACCAGGGAAGAAAAAGAGCTCTACTCAGAACCATCAAGAGCAGGCTGTTGCTGGCCCTAGTCATACAGGTGACCAGTGTACCCAACAATGCTATGGCCACTGACTCCAGCACCCTACACTATCTTGCTGCAGAGCCTGGGGAGAGAGCCCAGATGCAGCCCTTCCTCCGAAGGCAGGGAAGCATGGAGTTGTTGTCTCACTGGGGCAGGAGAGGGTCTGAGAGGAACTCCAGTGATTGGGTGGCTCCTCCCCTCCCTTCTCAGTCCAGCCTGGCCTACCTTCCAGGGCAACAGGGGTCACCTAGGGCTAAAAAAGTCCCCCCTCAAATCCTGGCCAGGGCCCTATCCCCAACCACATCCAAGGCACCAAGGAGGACAAGATCTGCTCCTTCAACCCTCTCCTTCCTTCCAAAATGCTACAGACTAGCTGGGGACTTAGCCTGGTTTCCCTACCCTGTGGATGAGCAAAGGCTCAGAGAAATGTCCTGCCCTGGGCCATTCAGCCTTTGTGGTCTACCTCCTGCAAGGATAGGGGACCCTGGGGTGAAGCTGCTGAGCACCCTGTGACCAGGGAAACTCCCACTAATCTCTCCTGCCTTTGCAGGCCAGCCCAGGGAGGGGCCCCCCTTTGGCTCTCCAGCTATCAAGTAACAGAAGGGAGAGGGAAGTAGGACAAGTTCCAGCTGGGGTGGGGAGGACACTGGTCCTTGCCCCAGGGGAGCCCTGGCCCCCAAGCCAGCTCCAGCCTACGAGGGACGCTGCACAGAGGCAGAACCCGAGATGCGATCTGAAAAAGCAGGCAGGGGACATCAGGAGCACAACCTCACGCCTGAAGGGCAGAACACAGCCAGTGCCATCAGCCCCACATCAGTGGCGTTGCGCAGTAGGCGCTCACTACAGAGCTTTTCCCAAATGACACCAAGCCTTGGACTCGAGGCTGGGGCCCTCACACCCCTCGGTGGAGAGCACTATTGTGTCAGCAGGCTGGAAAGGCCCTATGGACCATTGTCCTGTGTGGAGCTCCTGGCCCAGGTTCTTGAACAAGCAGAGCAGCTGGAGGCCCGGGAAACTCTGACAAACTGCCATAAACTCTAATCAAATCAGCATTTTTCTTAAGAGAATACTGTAAAATGGCAGATTTTCAGAAAATCCCAGGGCTTTAAAAAAACACTAGTAACTACTACTTTAAAGAAAAAGGGACCAAGAAGAGACACAAAGGGGTTCGAGGAACAGACCAGAGTCAGACAGAAAGGATGGACAACAGGGACGAGGATGGGGAGGAATTCGAAAGACAGGGACATGACCTCCACCCGAGTCAGCAGAGAGCCACCCGGTGCCACCCCCAGGAAGCTGCCCTTGCCGCAGATGCCGTAATATGGCACACAGAGCACAATGCAGCCCAGCACCAGGAGCAGCGGGCAGCGCCTCCCCCCTCAGCCTGGCACTGGCCTCACTACTGCCACCCTCCCCCTCCACCTCATCGTTCTGCCTGGGAGACAACGGACAGACCAGAAACAGACAGGGGACAGGACGAACTAGACAGACAGGCCAGCAGATAAGAATGGATGAAAGGATGGGGCACCAGGGAAGGATGAAGGCAGGGACAGACAGAGGTGAGCAGACACACAGAGGCAGAAACATGTGCCTATCTATATGGACCATTTTTGGTCTGGGGCCTGTAAACAGACATCAAGAGGCTGTGAACCCCAACATGACCCATGCACAGGTATGGGGCCATGAACGTCAGCACCTCTCCTCGGGTTCTTCAAGAGGATCCCTGGAGATCAAGGAGCACTGTGGCTACAGGCCAAACCCCTGATACATACGTACACAATCTATAGCCCACAGAAACAAAACACACAGACCCCGAGTCTCCACAGGAAGTAACAGCCCAAAGCAAATTCCAACATTCCCTCCACTGGAGCTGCCTAAACCCTTCTGTGACCCCAGAAGCGTCTCCAAACCCACTGGAGCTCAGACCACAAGGCACCCAACAAACGCGTGCTGGGCAGCCTTACCTTGGTGCGCCCGTTGATGACGTAGCCGCCCAGCCGCCCAGCGCAGTGCCGGATCACAGTGTCCACGTGGGCCATGAGGGCCCCGATGCTTCGGCAGCCTGGCTCATGGCCTTCCACCCAGGCAATCTGGTCCCCACGGATGCTGCGTGGCGGGATAGCCCGCTGGCTCACTAGCTGCCCATCACGCAGGCGCCCGCCCCGCTTCAGGGCCTCTACCTCAGCCAACACACGGCCACCCAGTGCCGCCCCCAGGAAGCTGTCCTTGACACAGATGCCATAGTACCGCATGCAGGGCACAATATAGTCCAGGGCCAGGCGCTCAGGTGCAGCAGGCAGCTCCTCCTCCCTCAGGCCAACACTGGCCTCACCACGGCCATTGCTGCAGCCTATGCTGCCCTCCCCCTCTTCCTCCGCTTCCTGGTTCTCTTGCCTGGCCCAGGGACGCTTGCTGGGTGCAGGCGCATCCCCACCATCCTCTGCCCATTTCCGCTTGGGGGCCTCAGGCCGGGCGCCCTGAGCTGCCAGTCGCTGGCACCCCTTGGTGACCAGTGCTGCAGCACCCTCGCTCTGCAGTGGCAGCAGCTCGCCACCATCCTGCCCACCGAAGCCTTCTGGCAAGGGGCTGGTTGTGGTGGAAGTGGCTGTGGCTCTGGGGATCCCACTCCCAGCCGAGGCCTCAGCAGGTGCTCCTGGACGGTGGTAGGAGGGTAGCAGGGGACACGGCAGGTACCTCTCTACCCCCATCCTGGACCGGCCAAGCTCCAATGGCTCTGACACAGAACTCGGCAACTGAGGGAGAGCCTGACTCAGGGGCTGTGGCTGGCAAGGGCTGTCCATGGCAGCAGCGTCTTCATCCCCCGGGCATGGAGGGCACGGCCCAGGCCCATGGTGCCACCCTCCTGCACTGCCTCCTCCTCCTCCACTTGATGCAGCCGGAGGCCAGGGCGGCCGGGCCGGGTGTGGGGCAGGGTGAGGCAGGGCAGGTGGCAGAGGCTCTTCTTGTGCCCTGGGGGGTGCCGCTGGTCCCCAAGTCCTCTGCTGTCCCTAGGGGCTTGGGAAAGGACCTGTCAGGGTGCCTGGAGGGAGAGAGAAAAAGGGATATGCGAGGAGCTAGAGGCAGGCTGGCTGGTCAGAAGGGTAAGGGGTGGAGGGGCAATAGAAAAGCAGACAAACTTGGCTTCTGAGACCCCAAAACCTGAGCCAACTTGGGGAGAGAAGACCCTGGGAATTCTGGGGGGAGTCGCTGACAGACAAGAGTCAGTGAGAGGAACGGCTGGAGGAGTAAGGCTGATATGACCCAAGACAGAGGACTACGGTAGGGGCTGAGGGAGATCATCCTCACACTGAGACAGACAAACAGAAAAGGGGGGGGGGGGGGGCCTGAAGTAGAAAAGGAAAGGTGAAGGAGTGGGGAGCAGAGATGAATAGGGGTGATTTTCCTGGGGGTTCCAGAGAAACAGAGGGGAGGTGGGGGTGCACAGAGGAAACTGGGGAGTTCAGAGACAAAGAGAACAGGAGGGGTTGTGGAGGTGGGGTGGGGACAGAGACAGAAAAACAAACCGGAGAAAAGCTGGGAGGGAGGGCCTGAGACGGCCGGACAGACCGGGGTGGCGGGGTCGACTCTACCCCAACGGGAGGAAGCCTGTTAGGGGCTGACACACACCCAGACGGAAGGAAGGTCCTGAGACAGACAGACGTACGGAAGGGAGTCGCGGGAGGAGGGTGCATAGAGACAGAAAAGGCGGAGATGGGTTCACGCACTCGGGGACAGGACTAGGGAAAAAAAGCACCCCCTCCCAACTCCCTTTGGCACGAGCACTAAAGCCCCGTCGGGGCGCAGCAGGCGACGGAGGCAGGACCTAGGGGCAGCTAAGACCCCTGCCCCTCCCCTCCCCCTCCGCCAGGCCTGTGCTCCCCGCTGCCACCTCAACCTTTGCCAAAGCCAACACTCACCATCGCGGGATCCCTCCCCCACGCCCCACCCCCATTCCCCCCTCCCTAGGGTCGCCAAGCTCCGTAACTGCCGGTCGGCGCGTGCCCCCACACCCTGGCCGGCAGGCCGGCAGGCGCCAGTGTCCCGACTCGAACACCCTGTCAATCCTGCTCCCTTCCCTTCCCGAAGTCTCCTCACCGAGCTTTTTCCTCCGACCCCGGCGCCGCCGTTTGTGCCAGCCGCCCTGCGCCGCATAGCGCGCCATACCCCGCCCCCACCATCCGCGATGCTCCGCCCCCGCCTCTCCCGGTGGGTACGTGACCGCGCCCGAGCTGAGGACACAGTGCGCAGGCGCCAGCAGAGCAGGGCGGGACGAGGACATTCAGAACAGCCCCAATTGAAAAAGGGGAGGTGGGCCGGGGGACTCCAAGCTTATTTGCATTCTATGCTCTGCCCTTTTTTGCTAGCGAGGGGAGGAACACGGTAAGAAAGGGCTGAATCAGGGAAAGGGAGTTGTTGCTAATGTTATTCAAACGACATGGGAGGGATATGCAAATAAGGCTGTTTACATGAACAACCCCATCCCCTCACAGCCAGAATGCTGAGGAATGAGTAGCCTGGTCGGGCTATGGTATGCATATTACTGTTGTAATTTACATGGAAAGCTCCGCCTTCTCACCGTTCAAGAATAGAGGGGCCTGGCTGGTGTAGCTCAGTGGATTGAGTGTGGGCCTGCGAACCAGAGTATCGGCGTTCAATTCCCAGTCAGGGCACATGCATGGGTTGCAGGCCAGTTCCCAGCAGGGGACACACAAGAGGCAACCATACATTGATATTTCTCTCCCTCTCTCCTTCCCTTCCCCTCTGAAGATAAATAAATAAAATCTTTAAAAAAAAGAAAGAATAGAGATGAGATACTGAGAAATGTCGGCATAGGTAGTTGGGAAATGTATGTAATTAACACGTCAATGATAATTTACACAAGGCCTTTATATAACGGAGGGAAAACGTGAGAAGCGTCCCTGAGAGGAGGGAGAGTAGCTGAAAAGGATGTATGGATGTACCATAAGCCACTCGGTCCTTGCCCCTTGAGACAATTGCGGGAGTCAGAATAAAGCAACCTAGGAAAGCTATTGCACAGAAGATATTTGACACGGAAGATAAAAGACACAGGACAGCCTCGTGTCTTTTAAGAACATTTTGGCTACTGGAACTGGAAGGACTCTGCTGATGAGGTCATTTAAATGCCGCGCCTCCTCCACCTCACCTAGGCTAAGGAGAGACTCAGGCTCTTGGGTGTGGATTAAAGCTGACTTGGGGATGACTGAGCAGTTGGGAGTGTCCGGAGGGGGCTTCACCTGTCCTCAGCAGAGCATTTGGTACGTGCGGTTCACCTACGCAAAGATAACGTGCCGGACTCCAGTATGCACGAGTCCAGGTTGCACAAAGGCCCACACAGTGCTGAGGGACACACACAGAAAGGGTCCATGGTCACCCACAGGTGTATCAAAGGAGCCAAATTCACATCAAAACACAGAGACCTCAGGGGCATACATGCAGACTCACACACACGCACAAGTCAAACACTGCCTAAAACGTTCAGGCATTAGACCTGCATATATTACCCACAGACCTAAATTCTTGCTCATGTTGTTTGGTGTCCCAAGCAACACCAGCCTCATGAACACAATCACTGAAGACACAGTCATCACAAACGACAGTGTATACACACAACACACATGCCTATTACAGATACCATTACTCATGGCACAAACAGAGGGTCATCCATGATCTGTATGTGGGCCTGCAGCACACATGGTCACAAAATGTGTACACAGTGACAGACTCCCTCTACAACAGGCCCCTAAGTCACGGAGTCAGTGTGTACCTCCACACCATGTCCCACCCAGAAACATGGCTCCGAACATCAGGACACTTGATATTCTTCTATCAGGTACCTCTTCTGCCTCCCCTCCCTCCTGGCCACCCCAACATGATGGAGGCCAAGACACAGGTATAAACAATGCTTTATCGGGGTGGGGTCGGGGGACAGGCCTCCAGGTAATAAATAACTTGTACTCACAATGGCAGGGCCAGGGGAGCTGGGGCCAAATGGCCCTGGTCTCAGGCTTTGGGAACTCTTTGAGAATGGTTAGGAGTTCAAGGAGGACAGGGAGTAGCCAAGACAGAGGAAGCAGCAGCAGGTATGGACTCCCCCATCCCCTGTGGCTCAGTCTTGCCCCTCAGCCAGGCTCCACCAAGCAAAGGGAAGGGGGAGAGGTGTCCGGGCAGCTTCTGTGGGGCCAGGGCAGGTGAGGGGCTCAGCCTCCAAGGGCCTGGGTCTGGACCCCAGCTGGAAGGACAGGGCTGGTCCTGGAGAACAGGTGAGCTGAAAGAAAAGTGTAAGGTGAACTGGAAATATCCTGGCTCTGTCCAGCCTGTGTCTGTCTCATTTCTGGGTATCTTTCTGCCCTCCTATCTGTGCCTGTCTCCCCATACCTTTCTTTTCCCCCCCCGAGCTTCTACATTATCTATCTTTCTATTTCTTATCTGCATGTAATCTGTGGCACTCTCTCTTGAGGGTTTCTCCCTGTTTCCCTCAGAGAGCTGTCTCCTTGAGTCTGTCTCCTTATGTCTAAATATCATAGCCCCACATTTGTATCTCTGTGTCCTTCTACAGTCCTGGATGGCACTGGGTCCAGGGTTTCATCCCAGGGTTTCTCAAACTCAGGAGACACTTTGTTAGCAGTTCTTGCTTTGCTGCAGACAGCATTACCTGGGAGCTTCCAGAAATCCTGAAATCACTTCAGAATCTCCGGGGTGAGGCCCAGGCTTCTGCAGCTGTTAAAGCTTAATTAGTGGGGTAGGAAATCAGTTTGGTGGGCCTCGACCAATGTTTTGTTGAAAAAGAATAAAATGGAATACAAAGAAAATATCAGACTACATCATATGTAATAATACTGGTCCTCGGAAATAGAAAGCAGATGAGCAGGTGCCGAAGACTGGGGGACACAAGGAATGACTGCTTAACAGGTGCGAGGTTTCCTTTCAAGTCAATGAAAATGTTCTGGACCTGTACAGAGGTGGTGGTTGTACAATCTTGTGAAAATACTCAATGCCACTGAATGATACACTTTAAAATGTCTATATTTATCTTATGTAAATATCCCCCCCCAGTTTTTTAAAAGAATATTAGTGCTAGGAAAACATGTGTGTCAGTTTTATATGTGTGTGACTGTATGAGATTAACACATATCTCCTCCTGCAGATGGCAGTCAACAAAGTTTGAAAAAGCATCGTCTTATATTTGATTCCCTGAGGGCAAACCCTGATACAGAGCCTGTGCTAAGCCCTGGAGTTGAAGAGTACACACTCATCCATTTCTGCACAGCCAGAGTCTTTAAATGGATAAAAAGAAGAAAAACAATAAACAGCCTTTGTTTATGAATCTTTATCAGTGTCAGCCCCTGTTCTAAACACTTTACATGAACTAATTATTTATCTCTCTCAACAGCCACAGAAGGCAGTACTGTTACTGAGGAAACCAAGGCCCAGCAAGGTTAAATGATTTGCCCAGAGTCACCTAGCTGCAAGTGACAGAGTTGGAGTTTAAATGCAGACGGTCTGGCTCTGGACTCTGTGATCTGTCACCTCCTTTCCTTCTCAGATGGAGAAGACAAACACCGTACAAACAATAAGTTGTGAGACCACTAGCAAGAGGAAGTGACCCCGTTTGGGATAAAAGTTCTTGCAGCAGGAGTCCTATTAGCAGAGACAGATAATGAGTGGGAGTTGGTGTAACAAAGGAGGCAGGAGGCCAGGTGCAGAGGCACAGCGGATGGAAAAGCACAGAAGTGAGAAAGAGCACTGCCCAGAGAACTCACCCTGGACTCCTCTCTCTCAAATTCCATATCCATTCACAGGAAATCATACTGACCCTGCCTTCAAAGCATATTCCGGTATAACCCCCTTTCCCCGCCGCCACTCTGGAGCTGCTAATGGCTATGAAGGGAAGTGGACATGAAGCACAGAGGGGAGAACTGGGAAGATATTCACACCCCCAGAGAGGTAAGGGTGGGACCAAATCCTGTGGGATCTGGCAAGCCTGTCAAAAAGTATGAAACAAACAAGGGGTTCTGAAGAAGGGGGAGGAGGTTAGCAGGAAAGAGAGGGAAGGAAGGGTGTTCCTGGCAGAGGGAATGGAATGAGCAAAGACTGAGAGAGACAGAAAGAGCTTCACTGTGGCTGCAGTGGCCTGAGAAGTGGGGAGATACAAGTTGAGGCAGGTGAGGGTGGCAGGGGCCAGACCCGCAGAGTCAAACATCAGGCTCAGGAGCCTCAGCTGTGTCCCAGGGACCATGGGAGCCACGAATAGTTTTAAGCAGGGGAGGGACAGGGTCAGATGTGCTTTAGAAAGGCCCAGTGGCTACATGAAGAGGGGAGAAGACTGGCCAAAGAGAATAGGGAGGATACAGAACTTATCGACATCTCAGCGCGTCCTCCGCCCCCACCGCAGTCCTGTCCACCATCGTCTCTCACCTTGACCTTACAGTAGCCTCCTCTCTGGTCTCCCAGCAACCATCCCCGCCCCCCACAGTACCCCACTACATGCAGTCAGAGGGACCCTGTGAACACCTGAATCAGATCCCATCCCTCCTCTGCTCAGAGCCCTTAGGCTCCCATCCCTCCCAGTGTTTAAGCCAGAATCCTCCCTGTGGCCCAGAAGACCCTAACTGATCTGCTTGCCTTCACTCATGACCTCATCTCCTGCTGCACCACCCCCTCGACACACACGCACGCACACACACTACTCCACTCACGTTAGCCTCCTTGGTCTTCCTCACCATTCGAGTCATGACCCTGCCTCGGGGCCTTTGCACTGGCTGTTCATTTTGCCTAGAACACTCTTCCCCCAGGCCCCAAATGACCCCCTCCCTTACCTCCTTTGAGCCTTTGTTCAAATGTCACCTTATCAGTAAGGCCTTGCCTCATCATCCTGTTCAAAATTCCACTCTTCCACCTCCCCACCCTGTCTTGCCCTGCAAAGCTTTTATCTCCCTAACAACTATGTAATTTACTTAGATATTTGTCTGTCTCCTCCATGAAGGCAGGTACTTTTGTCTGTCTCACTAGTGACTTGAACAGAGCCTGGCACACAGCAGATACTCAACAAATATTTGATAAATTATGAATGGGAGGAGCAGAGATCCAGGACAGAGAGCTAGCTGTGGGATGGAAAGGACTTCCCTGTGGCTTTAACTCAAGTGGTTTTGCAATT